ATCCTCTGAAAAAGTGAGCATTAAATCGCCATGTTTGTTTTCCCAGTGGGATGTGTCTATTGATAAAGACGATATTTTCAAGTCTTTTGAACTATATCGCTTTTGTCTCTGGTTCTGATATTGTCATATTTTAGTTATGGGATTCGGACATCGTAATTGTGTGGTTGCTAGATGTCCTAACAGCGGAAAATGGGCTTCGGAAGTTTGCGAACTCCATAACTGTAAAAGGGAATCAGATCTGTGTGAATGCAAACCTCTGTTCAAACTGTTTCCCTTCCCAGCGGAATTGAAAAATAGTGAAAGGCGAAGGCGATGGGCAGGATTGATACACAGGAAGGACGAAAAAGGAAACCATTGGCTGCCTAAGAAATCATCCTGAGTTTGCAGCAAATATTTTGTATGTGGAGCATCACCAAAGCTAAATCCCATTTGCTAAGCGAGACATACAGAAGACAAATAGACTGAGCTCACACTTTCTTGTTCTTGTGGTTTAGAGCAACATCACATCTTGGTCACTTTGCAGTGGAAGGTGTTTCTTGGCGAACAGCTGGTGCCTTTCTCTTTGGCGTGGAGGCTGAGCGAGGGATTGGGGTTTTGCTTTAATGGCGCTTCACATACAAAATGTTCGCTGCAAACTCAGGATGATTTCTTAGGCAGCCAAAGTTTACCTTTTTCGTCCTTCCTGTGTATCCGTCCTGCCCATCGCCTTCGCCTTTCACTATTTTTCAATTCCGTTGGGAAGGGAAACCATTTGAACGGAGGTTTTGCGGTCACACACATCTGATTCCCTTTTGCAGTTATGGAGTTTGCGAACTTTTCCGCTGTTAGAACATCCAACAACCACACACTTGCGATATTCGAATCCCATAACTAAAATATGACAATATCAGAACCAGAAACAAAAGCGATATGACGCATCCCACTGGGAAATCAAACATGGCAGTTTGATGCTCACTTTTTCTGAGGATCCTTCCCAGTATGCATTGCGCGATGACTGGAAGTATACGGAGCAAATATATATTTTCTATGCCTTTGTTTAGCTACTGCTCTGAAGAGGCACAAAGGTATGTTATTGATTTAAATATGTGTTTTGGATAACTTTGTGTCTCTAGCTCTTATCTTAGTTGATTTGTGTTGTCAAAGTGAATATAAATGATGAGCTAAACTTACGCTGAATTTTGTGTATGTATATTTACATAGTGTATTTTATGTTCCTTTCAGCTCTTATGGCAGATTTGAGGATTTATTGCCATTAAATGTAAATATCGCTAGTTCAAGTGTCAGTCTTCGTTCAGAGGGATATGCTACACTCTCTTCTCTGTCTTTCTCTTTCCCCCTGATTTCCCCTCCCTCTCTCCTTACCCCTCCGTCACCCTATATATTTTATGTCCCCACACTTTTTCTCACTTTCTTCTTTCCCTCTCTTTCTTCTCACTCTCCCCCTCTCTTCTCTGTATATCCTCTGTTAGGTCACTATCTGTAACAGCCTGGCGTGTGGCTCAGACCTGATAAAGAAGGAGGATTTTATTTGAGCCTAAAGCTGTGTGTTTGTGGAGAGCTTTCTTTTTTCTTGTGGACAGTCTCAGTCATGTGGAGGAGGGCCGGTCATAAAGAGGATTTCAGTATTTCCTGGATTTCCTGAACATTATGATTCTGTATTAAAGAAGGCATATTGTGCTTGAGCTTGCTGTATGGTTATAATCTACCACACTGTGCATTATTATCATGTTATAATTTGGACATTTTAGATTGCAGATTGATCCAAAACGACTTAATAAAAGAAAAAGGTCAGCTGACTTCCATGTTAGAAAACTGTGGTGCCCAATGGGAGCTGACATCACTGTAAACATCATCAAAACAAAGACCTGGGAAGGTATTCATAGAAGGTAGTGAGCAGATAGTGTGATCTTAAACAAAATGACTACGTGACGCTGCTGAATTCTATGCGTTTCACCGATTAAGAAAATAAAATGTGGTGAAGAGGGAGCTGAACCAGAAGGCAAAGCTCTCGATTTACCGGTCGATCTACGTTCCTCCCCTCACCTATGGCCATGAGATTTGGGTAATGACCATAAGGACAAGATCGCAGATACAAACGGCCGAAATGAGTTTCCTCTGCAGGGTCGCTGGGCACTCGCTTAGAGATAGGGTGAGGAGCTCGGAGTAGAGCCGTTGCTCCTCCACGTCAAGAGGAGCAGCTGAGGTGGCTCGGGCGTCTGTTCTTGATGCCTCCTGGATGCCTCTCTCGGGAGGTGTTCTGGGCATGTCCCACCGGGAGGAGGCCCCAGGGAAGATCCAAGAGGACACGCTGGAGGGACTATGTCTCTGGGCTGGCCTGAGAACGCCTCGGGGTCCCCCTGGAGGAGTTGGAGGAAGTGTGTGTGTAGAGAGAGAAGTCTGGGAGTCCCTGCTTAGACTGCTGCCCCCGCGACCTAGTCCCGGATAAAGCGGAAGAAAATGGAGACATGGAAATGGATGCATAAAATCAATATAAATGCAACTTCAGAGGGTAAATGAGAAAGGAAACAACTATAAGATGGTTAAAAGCTCTGAAGTCGATTTTGTATTATAGGTCTGCTTTAAAATGTGCTGACACTGTAAACAAATTTGATTTTAAATATCCATTTCCATATCTTGTGAGCTCTAAGCCATGTTAGAACGTTGTTACCTAAACAAAAACATATCTAGAGTTGTGTTTTGTATCATTCACACATGTTTGAGCAATCACAAGGTGGAGTGTTTTTGGGTTCACAGCCTAAATACGCAGGATTTGTGAGTTAAACATGTGTGAATGAAACAAAACACAACTCCAGGTCTGTTTGTGATGAGGAAACAACATTATAACATAGAAAACAACTTAATATGGGCACTTTAAAATGAAATTGAAGCTTCCAGTTATTTTATCCGTCCCTTTGTTTTTCCAATATTGCTTGTATGTGCGTGTCAGAGAGATTAAAAGCTTTCAAACACGGCTAAATCTTGGTACTTTCTCTTATGTTATCTGACCTGTGCGTGAGTGTGTACATTATGTAAGATGTCTCCAGATTTACAGCGTTCTTGAATATTGCCGACTCAGATGCACAAATAGAGGCCCCATATGTAGCGGTTTCCTGTGCACCTGCTCATGAGTAAGGGCTTTAAACAAAATACACCGGATCAGCATCGGTGTACACACAGACAGTCACAATGAACCCAGCCAACTCTCTGACCTGAAAGTGTCAGAGTGAGACCTGGTTTGCTTATCGATAATATACATTTTCAGCATTTAAAGTGGGACTAAACACCTAAACTCCTCCCACAAACACGTAAAACAGAGCTGCTAAACTGGACAGTGCCTGGAGGACTAAAGGGGGGAGTGAGTTTAGTGTTTATGTATCCCAAGAGGTCCGTATAGAACATTTTAAAAACAGACAGGAGACAAACACAATGATACACATGAACGTTTATATAGGACGGTCCTTTTAATATAAATATAACTTGCTTGAATTGTGCTTTCGGTTCTTGTGCTGTACAATGTAAAGACGATTTAAAGGCTAAATGTCTTGGAGATCTACTGTCAGTAATAAAACAAGAACAAAGACTTAATTCATAATGAACAAATAGTTTATAGATAGAATAGATTGAAATAATTCAGACATAATACATCTTTATTTATTACCAGGGCAGTGCATATTGACCAACAGTGCACTTGCACACTATGCCAGAGTTAGTCAAGAGGCAAGTTTCATCTGTAGTCCTTTGCCAGATGTACAGAAGGCAGAGCCGATGGAGCTGGAATTGTGCCCATGCTCATGTCCTATTTGGAACGTGGCGGCCAGTGGCTATGTCCATTTACATGTGTTTAAGCTTGAAAAATCATGAAAACATGAAAAAATACGTAGTACCATATTTTTCAGACTATAAATCAGTCCGGAACATAAGTTGTACCAGCCAAAAAATGCGAAATGAAGAATTTAAAAGCATATATAAGTCACTTTTTGGGGGAAATTTATGAAGCCATGAACCGACATTTCATCCTGAAAGGCAAGTTAAAGTAATAACAATAGAAAAGAGAACAACAAACTGTTAACGTAACATATTACCAAACTCTCAATCTCACTCCAAATCACTAAATCTATTAAATTCTTCATCCTCGGTGTTACTTCTGAGCAACTCCACGACTTCCAGAGGTAAACGGAGTGCCATTTCCTCTTCTGTGTAGCTGTCGTCAGACTCAGCATCAGTTCAAGTTAGAATTATTCTGGCCTTTCTGAATCCCGACATGATGTTGTCTCTGAAGTCCCGGCTTTGTCGATCCATCCAGTGACTTCCAGGAAAGTTGCATGGTGCAGTCTCCCGGTGTCACAAGTTTCTTACTCACTCTAAACTTTCTTTCTGCTGCTTGATTACTGTTTTTGGCTGCATATTTCACTATTTTCAGCTTGTAATACTAGTATAATATTATTTTCTTTTTGGGGACATTTGTGTTCTCTTGTGTCTTCTCAGTTGTCAGCGGCTCTTTCTGCAGAAGTGACAGTGGTACAGGAGTAACAGCAGTAGCAGATACTGACACACAAGCCTAGAGCGCCCTCTCACGGCCGTCAGTGTGAACATTTTAATATATAAGTTGCACCAGAGTATAAGTTGTAGGACCACCCAAACCATGAAAAAAGTGCCATTTATAGAGATACAGAAAAACACAGTAATTACATAATAACAGAAGATTTGTATGACTATATTATACGGTGAAGAGTGCCTTTGATTGTGAATTGTTTGGATTGGCTCATTTTGCCCTGAAATATTTCACCTGTACTATCTACAGCTTCAAAATGATCTGCTAAATATGTACAAGAACAGAAAAAGACAACAATTTCAGAACAGACTCATAAAAAACACCAAGGACCATCTCGCAATCAAACTCGCATTGTCATCTTCATATTGCCTCTTTGTTCTGCGTTCATTGTACTAGACTCATTTGGCTGTGCTCTGAACTAACTTTGATTTCTCTCATTTTTTTGCAGATGGCGCAGCGAAGGAGAGGAGGCAGAGACAGTTTCAAAGATAAGAAATCCACAAACCAGGTAAATACAGTGTGTCTGCATTCACTTTGTTTTGCTTTATTTACATTTACTTAAAGGTACGCTGAAAGAACTGGTATTTGCCACCATCTCGGAGAATGAGACACTACCCATAAACCTATGCAAGTAAACCAAGGAGGGAATACGATCGAAAAACATCACTTAAAGCTTGCAGTATAACTTTTCTAAACGTCCTCTATCTTCCACTTCACATCCAAATCAAAGTTATTTCTATAGCACATTTTACAAACAAAACAGTTTGTGCCGCACAGAGATCATAAAATGAAGACAACAAATTGCTAAATTGCTAAAATGTGGTCATACCAGTCCTAAAACAATAAAATCAAATAAAAGCAAAACCATAAAAAACATAAAGTAGCAGGAAGTAAGTAAAGTAAAGTAAATAAAATAAATTAAAAACACTGAGGACCACACGACTCACGCAGTGTTTAAAGCCAGAGAATAAAAGTACGTCTTGCATCTAGTCATTGAGTCATTACAGATATTTTATTAGTGGTGGAAGAAGTATTTTAAGTTGTTACTTAAAGGTTGTATGGAGGATTTTTTTTGTTTCAAATTGTCAATGATAGCATTATAGAGGTGCAGTAGCCTTGTAATTATGATGACCAAAAAAAAAAAGAATAAAAATTCATCAACTCTGGACGTGGTGGGGCTAAACATTTGCCAATAGATAACGACACTGCCTCGTTATCTGTGAGCTGATAGGCTGTCAATCAATCTCCCTACGTTTCTAGCGTAACTGACTTGCCTGCGCGCCGCCGGTACGTGGTTTACGTACGCCTGTCACGCAGTCCACAGACGCAAGACGCACAGACGCTGTTTACTCCACCAACGCAACAGTTCTTAGCGGCTTTTTTTGACCTATATCTTCCTCGCAGTTAGCACAAAGTTTGTTGCAATGACGACAAGAATCAGGAGCAGTTAGCCGCAAAGAAAGTCCGTTTTTGAGGTCGCTGAAAGAAGAAGACAAGGGGAAAAGCAGCGAAGCCAAACTAAGGTGATTCTTGAAGATTCATTCCAGCGATGGCGCACTGAAGCAGACGCAGGGTCTAAAGACTGACGCACTGGTCGCCAAATTACTCCTGGACAGGTCACTTCTGCTTATTATGAAAACGTACTTTATTTCCAAGAGCTAGTCAAACGTTTTTCAGGTCACGAAAGCGATATCCTCTCCTCTCTCCCTGCTCCGCTCTTCTCCCTGCTCCTCACTTCTCATCCGCGCACGAAATGTCCCGGCACCCGCTCCCCCGCTCCTCACTTCTCCGTCTTGCCTAACCAACACTGTAGTTAGTTGTTTACGAGTCATGTGCAGCGCACCGGCTGTAAACAAACCTGTTTCTGGTGTAAGGAGGAGGAGGGAGGAGGCGTTTCTGCGTAGGGAGCTGTAGGGGAGGGGGGGGTGGTTTCACGCATGCGCAACATTTGAAAAAGGACAAACAGTCGCTGGATTTCTCGTTCCTTGGAAAATCCTCTATACAACCTTTAAGTAAAAGTACAGGTACTGGAGCAAATAAATACTCAAGAAAAAATAAAAGTATCACATGACAAAAGCTTCTTAAGTAAAAGTATTAAAGCACGTGTTGAGTAAAAAGTATTTTGTGCAGATTTTGAGATCTTACAAGGTGTAAGATGTAGTGATTTTAATTAAATTTTTCTAGTTTCTTATTTTTATTTGTGTATTTGTGGTTGCATAAAAACTATGAACATTTAAAAATTAAACTCCTCAGCTTTTTCAGCAGGTCTCAAACTGTAATAAAAAATACTTTAACTTTTCAATCCTGTTTAAAAATGTAGTGCAGTGGAAAGTACAGATACCTGCTCTCAAATGAAATGAAGTAAAAGCAAGTATCCACTGTAAAATGTACTTAAGTAAAGTGCAGATACCTAAAATGTATGCTTAATTACAGTATTTTCTACTTTTACTTCATTATGTCCCACCACTGTATTTTCTTTATTGCTTGTGAGCTGGGTCACCTCTCCACGGATCTGACCTGTAATTTGGCTTGGTGTTCGTCACCTGAGGCAAGCTTGTGGCAGAAACTCAACCAGAAAAGTTACTTAATGAACCTTTAACAGTCTCTTTTTGGGGGGGAGATTGAATAGTAACAAGTCTAAACGATAAATAGAAACACTAAACTTTGCACGATCATGTCTAAAGCTGAGATTGAGATTGTAATTCACGCATTTGTGTCCTCGAGACTAGACTATTGTAACAGTCTGTTTACCTGTCTGAGCAAGAAGGAACTTACCTTAGTCCAAAACTTTTCCACAAGGCTTCTGACCCGCACCAGCAGGAGAGCGCTTATCACTCCGATCTTAAACTCCTTACACTGGCTCCCTGTTCTTTTTGGGTCCACTTTAAGATCCTGGTGCTGACCTTTAGGGCCCCACATGGCCAGTCTCCTGCTTACATCACAAATCTGATAAAGCCGTTCACCTCTGCTCGTAGCCCCAAACTTGCTACTGGTCCCTCGGAGAAGTTTTAAAACATGAGGCGACAGATCTTTTCAAGCCGTCTCCCCTAAACCCTGGAATGAACTGCCTCCTTACCTAGGCTCTCTAGATAGCGTAGATGCTTTTAATGGCTTAGAGCTGTTACGAGATGATTATATTTTATTATGAATGTATCTTATGCTGTTTTTATCTTTTGTATGGGAAGCACTTTGTGACCTATGTCTGTGAAAAGTGCTACATAAATAAACTTTACTTACTACACTTGGACTTTATATAGGACAGTCCTTTTAATATAAATATAACTTGCCTGAATTGCACTTTTGGTTCTTGTGCTGTATGATGTAAAGGCAATTTAAAGGCGAGTAAATGTGTTGGAGCTCTTTAGTAGGTAATAAAACATGAACAAAGACTTAAAGGTTGTATAGAGGATTTTCCAAGGAACGAGAAATCCAGCGACTGTTTGTCCTTTTTCAAATGTTGCGCATGCGTGAAACCACCCCCCCTCCCCTACAGCTCCCTACGTAGAAACGCCTCCTCCCGCCTCCTTCTTACGCCAGAAACAGGTTTGTTTACAGCCGGTGCGCTGCACATGACTTGTAAACAACTAACTACAGTGTTGGTTAGGCAAGACGGAGAAGTGAGGAGCGGGGGGAGCGGGTGTGCGGACATTTCGTGCGCAGACGAGAAGTGAGGAGCAGGGAGAAGAGCGGAGCAGGGAGAGAGGAGAGAGGAGAGGGGAGAGGAGAGGGGAGCGGTGCGCGGAGATTCCGTGCCCGGAGAAGTGAGGAGCAGGGGGAAGAGCGGAACGGGCAGCGGGGACAGGAGCAGGAAAGGGGAGCAGAGAAGAGTTGCGCGGAGATTCAGTGCGAATGAACTAGCTACAACACGCAGCAGCAAGCGGACTCTTTCTTTGCCTTGAAAATTACGTTTTCAGACATAGGATATCGCTTTCGTGTCCTGAAAAACGTTTGTCTAGCTCTTGGAAATAAAGTACGTTTTCATAATAAGCAGAAGTTTCCTGTCCAGGAGTAATTTGGCGACCCAGTGCGTCAGTCTTTAGACCCTGCGTCTGCTTCAGTCGCGCCATCGCTGGAATGAATCTTCAAGAATCACCTTAGTTTGGCTTCGCTGCTTTTCCCCTTGTCTTCTTCTTTCAGCAATCTCAAAAATGGACTTTCTTTTGCGGCTAACTGCTCCTGGATTCTTGTCTGCCATTGCAACAAACTTTGTGCTAACTGCGAGGAAGATATAGGTAAAAAAAAGCCGCTAAGAACTGTTGCGTTGGTGGAGTAAACAGCGTCTGTGCGTCTTGCGTCTGTGGACTGCGTGACAGGCGTACGTAAACCACGTACCGGCGGCGCGCAGGCAAGTCAGTTACGCTAGAAACGTAGGGAGTTTGATTGACAGCCTGTCAGCTAACAGATAACGAGGCAGTGTCGTTATCTATTGGCAAATGTTTAGCCCCACCACGTCCAGAGTTGATGAATTTTTATTCTCTTTTTTTTGGTCATCATAATTACAAGGCTACTGCATCTCTATAATGCTATCATTGACAATTTGAAACAAAAAAAAATCCTCCATACAACCTTTAATTCATAATAAACAAATAGTTGATTCAGGCATACTACTTCATTATTTATGACCAGGGCAGTGCATATTGACCAACAGTACGCTTGCATATTACGCCAGAGTTAGTCAAGAGGCTAGTTTCATCTGAAGTTCTTCGCCAGATGTACAGAAGGCAGAGCTGATGGAGCTGGAACTGTGCCCATACTCACATCCTATTTTTATAATGGCAGCTAGTGGTTTAGTTATGTCCATTTACATGTGTTTAAGCCTGAAAAATCATGAAAACATAAAAACATAAGTAGTACTGTATTTTTTTGGACTATAAGTCGCTCTGGAGTATAAGTTGCACCCATAGACTGTGTATATGAGTAGACATAGCTAACGCTCTAGCCACCGCGTGCCAAATAGTAAGTGCTTCGAGCTCCTTCTGACCCTTGCTCCTATTGACTTACATTTGGATCTTGTCGTCCCTCCCTCTGTAACTGCTGCAGTGAGACTCGTCATTTTGGTCTTAAAATGTTTGCATTAACTCGTTCAACATGATGCTGATTTGTTTGTCAGTCAAAAAAATCCTATTCATAACGTAGACCCTGGCTCCAGATTCGCTCCTGTAACCGTGAGCATCGTGAGCCTCATTTGAGCGGCGTGAACAATCGCTGACGTCACAATCGCTTAGTCCACTTCTTTTATACACTCTATGGTCGCACCAGCCAAAAAATGCATAAAGAAGAAGAAAAAACATATGTAAATTGCACTGAACTATACTGTAAATCTCACTTTTTGGGGGAAATTTATAAAATCAGAGACCAAGAACCGACATTTCATCTTGAAAGGCAAGTTATAGTAAAAACAATAAAACAGCTGAACAAGTTTACCAAACTCTCCATCTCACTCAAAATCACTAAATCCATTAAATTCTTCATCCTCGGTGTCACTTCTGAACAAGTCTGTAACCTCTGGAGGTAAACAGAGCGCCACTTTCTCTTCTGTGTAGCTGTCGTCAGACTCAGCATCAGTTCCAGTTAGATTATAATTTGTTTTATGCCATAATTTAGAATAGTGGAGGTAAAACATAAACATTTCCATGGAGACAAGTAACTGGCACCCTTTAAAGTAAACAACTAAACCACTTTCATACTCAAGTTATTTGGTGTTAAAGGTTTATATTCCATTAAAACAAATGCTGAAAACTTGAAAACCCTGTAAAACGCCTTTATAACTTTATAGCCTTGCCATTCTTGCAGTTTTGGACGTTCAGCTAACTACACTGGATGGATCGTTATCTATGTTACACTTCTACCTTCAAGGCAGTATTAAGAACATAGCAATGAACTGACCCAATTTTCTTGTTATTTTTAGGAGGACAGTGCAGACCTTCGCTGTCAGCTGCAGTTCGTCAAGGAAGAGTCCAGTCTAATGAGGAAGAAGATGGCAAAACTTAGCCGCGAAAAGGACGAACTGGAACAAGAACTACAGAAGTACAAGTCAGTTTACGGGGACGTGGACAGCCCGCTACCGCTGGCCGAATGCTCTGGAGGGGGCCCTCACTCCACGCGGGAGGCCGAACTACGTCTACGCCTCAAATTAGTAGAAGAAGAAGCGAACATTTTAGGTAGAAAGATCGTAGAGCTGGAAGTCGAGAATCGTAGCTTGCGCGCGGAAAACGAGGACATCCGTTGCCAGTACGAACGCGATTGTTTCGGTCGCGAACCGTTTTCGAGCATGCCTTCTTCGCCGTACGGAGGAGATGCGTTAGAATCAGCCAACGAGCTACGCCGCCACCTGCAGTTTGTGGAAGAGGAGGCAGAGCTTTTAAGAAGGTCGATATCTGAAATTGAAGATCATAACCGGCAGCTGACGTCCGAATTGAATCGTTTTAAGTTCGGGCCTAGCGGGAGTAGCGCAGTGGGAGAAGAAAGCAGCGAAGCGGGGTTGTTCAAAAGCGGGAATGGGTCTAGCTTAATCATGGAAGAGCTCAAATCGGCGCGAATACAGATCAACGAACTTAGCGGCAAAGTCATGAAGCTGCAGTACGAAAACCGCGTGCTGCTTTCCAACGTCCAGCGCTACGATTTGGCGGCAAACACTGGAACGCGCACAGCAAGTCCGAGGGATAGCGACGCGGATCAGGCAGCGGAAGAGGAAGAACAGACTAATGCTTCTACAGCCTAAACGCGAGGGTCCAATCGGCGGGGAGAGTGATTCAGACGATCTATTTGAAAAAACGGGTACAACTTCTGGGTTTGGTAGTATCAAACCTTCAGATGGTAGCGAGTTAAGCGCTATCGAGCTTGCAAACCGTCGTAGAGAAGAGAGAGAGTCGTTTAACAATGTGAAACGGGAAGCAGACAGGTTAGGGAAAACTGTGGACAGACTTATAACTGATACGGATAGCTTGGTTTACGAAGGAAGACTGGTGGTAACAACCGGAGAAGCTACAGACGTGAGCAGTTCTTCCACTTCCAAACCTGATACTCAAGTTTTGGACACCATAAACACGCGGATGAAGGCCTTCCGCACGGAGTTGCACATTTTTATGGAGAAACTGGAGCACGTCGGAGAGGCGTTCAGGGACAGGACGGACGATCTTTCCCCGATGCCAAATCTTACCGAATCCAGCAGCTTCCTGTCCACGGTCACCTCCATGTCCAGAGATTCGCCCATAGCGACGTTTGGACGCGACCTCGGCACTGACTTCCAGGTAAGACGCAGTATGTAAAAAAACAAAAAAAAAAACGGTTCAAATCTGACTTTATGAAACCAATATCAAAGCCAGAATATATTTAGTTAAACGTGCATTGTGTAACTTTTCTGCTGGAGGGTCCGTCAAAAGCTTTTCTCACGCTATGGTATTGAACCTTTCTATCTTCATGGAAACCAAACTAGACCAAGTTACAGGTCAGATCTGTGGAGAGGCAACCCCAGTAGTAGCCAGAATTCCTGTTTTTCTAGATATTTTGAGCTATAAAACCACCTGTAGTTGAATAAATGTAAGGTAGTGCTGTTTAAAGTCATACTGTGGAACATTCCAGACCGTGCAATGACATATCCATAGATACAAGCAGGTGACGGACCCCCAGCCAAAGAGTTACATAGTGCACCTTTAATGCACGTTGAAAGAACATTCTCTTTATTAATTATTTTAGATTTGGCCTTTCTGACATGCTTCTTCTTCTTGTATGTCAATGTTAAATATTAATGGTACACTATGTAACTTTTCTGGTGAAGGGTCCGTGACCTGCTTGTCGTCATGGATACAACTGCTTTGTCTACGACGCTCCACTGTAAGGCATTGAAATGATCTATCTTGCATGTATTCGATCACGGGTTATTACAGTGAGCAATGTTGCCCCTCCACAGATCTGACCTGTAACTTGGTGTGCTGGCTTCACCTGCCTCCAAGAATAGAGATAGATTTAATGTCTTAGAGTGGAAGGCAAAGAAATAACATGGAGACAAAGCTTCAGACCCTCTCCAGAAAAGTTACACAGTGCATCTTTAATGAGCTATTATATGTATATACTGTTTATATATATATATATATATATATATATATATATATATATATATATATATATATATATATATATATATATATATATATATATATATATATATACATATATACATATACTAGCATCTCTTCAGGGTAGATAGTATTTAATGTTAATACTAATCCAAAAACATTCCTTTTGTCTTCTTTTAACATTACCAACTTCTTTTTTGAAACGTACACTAGGAGTTTCTGCCTTGTTGACATGTTTCGGCTGCCAGCTGCTGCGGTTGTCAAAAGTATTGAAAATCAGACTCTAATTGATACTAAAACTAACAGACCATTTTTCACAATGGCCAGAAGTGCCACGATGTAGGGTAAATGTCACTTCTGGTTAATGGTTTTGGTTTTCTATGGCGAAATATCTGTGGAAATGTCTCGCGTATTTCCCACCATCTATTCCTTACCATAATGTTAGCTTTGCTCAGGAGTAGTTCACTAATGCTAGTCGTTGTTCACATTTTCGTCTTTCTTACCTTGACAGTTGTGGATAAATTCTTCTTGTTCAGAATATGTCCTTTGTCGACTTTGTTGGATGAAGATTTGGTGATGGGGTAGGCAGATTTTAGCCAGGCTGGCACCACCTAGTGCCTCCGCTCAATTTTATTTCTCTCCAGTGACTAGGTGAGGAATTGGAATACATTAGACAGTTTGCAAGAACCCCGAAATTTGTAGACTGTGCACCGGCCAATCAGTGAAGAGCTGTGAAGCCATGACGTCAAACTCAAGCTCCTGTCTGGATCCCTTTTGTGGTACAGCACAACAGTAAACAAAGCGGCTGAGATGGATGTAGATGAAGACAGACATTCTGTGTTGGCAACAATTCCCGAGATCGAAGATTTTCACTCTCTGCTTTGTTTGCTGTTGTGACGGCAATTACTTGGACACCACTGAGCGTTCCGGTGCATTACATATGTAACTACCAAATAACAGCGATTGGTTAAGTAAAAAAGTACCCGCCTACTGTTGAGCGAACAAATCCTAATGCAACGAGGTCAGACAGTTTCCACAAAGTGAAACCGGCTGATGAATCAGGCTAGGTAGATTTATGAATCTGGTGGAAAATACGTGAGACATTTCCACAGATATTTTACCATAGAAAAGCATTAACGGAAAGTGACGTTTTCATTGTGGCACTTTCAGCTGTTGTGAAAAAGGTCTAAATAGAATAAGACAAATTTGAGCTGATATCGATACTAAAATAGTTTAATTCACAGGAAAGAGTTGAATGTGAGTTGAGAGGTTTCTGAATACCTTTAGATGATCATGAGCTGTATCAGAAAAAATATAAGGACCACTGAGGGATTACACAGATATTTTTTTTTTTATTATTATCATTGTGGCATTGTAATTTAGTATTTAGCATTGAAATTTTAGTATTATGCCAACATTACTATAAATGCAATCCATCTTCAGAAGTGAAACATGTCAGCGAGGTAAATACATCTCCTACTGTATTGTCTCGAAGAAGAACTGCAGTCGGCAATGTTAAAGGTGCATTGTGTAACATTTCTGGTGTACCTGATGTCTCCATGGAAATGTTATTGCTTTGCCTAGAATGTTCCACAGTATAGATTAAGCAGGTTACAGCACTACGCTACATTACAGTTCAGATCTGTAGGAAGTCGGTTCTATTCACAGAAGGAATTATTGCGTTTTTGAGCAATAAAAACACTCGTAATGAATAAATGCTAAATGGAAATGTTTAAAGTCATACCATGGAACATTCCAGGCAAAGCAATAACATCTCCTTGGAGAAAAGCATTTGACGGACCCTCCACCAGAAAAGTTACACAATGCAGCTTTGATTCTATTTCCTTGACTCTGGTAGATCTTCTAAAATGCTCATTGCTCTAAAACATGTTGACATCCGTAGCCGAACACACATCCCATGCACAGCCGAGATTTTAGGGTCACAAAGCTCCACCCAAATGCCACCCAGCTCTACCCCCGGGCACCTCCCCTTTCACCCCCACCCACCGCCACCCATGGACCACCCAGTACCACCCATGGACCCAGAGCCATAGCATCCACATCTGCATCTTACAACAACGCACTCACCCCTCACTGTCTGCTGCTGCTGCTGCTGGCTGTGCTTTGGCAGGGCTCGAAGTGAGATACTGCAGTGCTTGGTGTGAGTGGGAAAAGTAGTAGTAGTTGTAGTAATAGTATTTTGTTGGCAGCTTCTTCCATTTGGCTCATACCACCTTGTTTCTTTCAGCTGACTTATGACTGAGGCTGAAGACTGAGCTAGAAACCTTATACGCATTGTTTGCATTTCTACGTGTTTCAGTGCTGTGTTGAAGTCTTCATGTTGGTGTCTTCTGTAGGCTCAACACTACTGATGTTTCCACACCTGTCAGGGCAAACAGTTTAATAAAGTTATCTATTTTCATACAAAAAAGTGGAATAAATGTTAGTAGCCCAAGAGTTGACGACAAGAGACATGAGGTTGGAGAAGTTTAACACCTGGAGACAAGAATCGCTCAAGACTCTCTGACAGTGTTGTCCAGTCCAGTCTGGATATCAGAGGTGGGGACTTGCAAGTTGTGACTTGGACTCGAGGCAGACTTGAGTCACTATTTTTAGGGCTTGAGACTTGACTTGATAAAATGGACTAAGACTTGGGACTCGACTTGGGCTTGAGACCTGTGACTTGAGAAGCATTAAATCTGAATTCTTTCTATTCTGACTGTAATGATTCACACTCAGATCTTGTCAAAAATGTATAAAGGAAAAATTAACTAAATTCATTTCTATAACTCTTATATACTCTGTAAATACTCTTATATAAATATACTATGATTTAAGTACAATTTATCTTAAAATTCATATAAACTGCAAAAATCTATCTATCTATATGGTACTTTGGTTTAAAGACTTGAAATGACTTGAAGCTCAAAGCAGACGACTTGGATTTGGCTTGGACTTATGGGTCAGTGACTCGAGACTCGCGACTTGCCTGTATTTGACTTGGAACTTGACTCGAACTTGAGTTTAAAGACTTGAGACTTACTTGAGACTTGCAAAACAAAAACTTGGTCCCACCTCTGCTGGCTATGCTTCCGTTGTAGGGAGTATTATACCTCTGTTGACAAAGTAGACAGAAATGGAAACTCTCTAGGGGTCTCCAACCTTTTTCTCTCTCTGGTGACCTACCTTTACAGAAATGAAAATACAAGAGGGCAACTAGATTTAGAGGTAGACACAAGAAATTATGCAGCTAAATCATATAATGGTACAATCATAACAGGCATCTAATTAACCAGATTTTAGTTACTCAGCTCAGTACTGCTGGGCTATATATTTGTACAAATATGATAATAATTAGGGATGTAACGATAACCAAAATATCGTGATATCGTATCATCAAAGGTCTCACAATAACATCGTGGACCAACTCTCTTCACTTAAATTCATAGTTATGGTGCAGCGATAGCAAAAAAAAAAACTAAGGGAACTACATAGACCATGATCCTTTGCTCCATTTCTGTGCAGACTACATGAAATAATTCTTCTAAGCACTTTTAAATCTTAGTTCTTTGGGTTAAGTCTTGTCAAGGCATTTTAAAAAGAGAAAAGTAGCATATTAAGAGTTTTGTTAGCCTCCACAAAATATTGCAATAAATATCGTACCATGAGATGTATATCATGAAAATATCTGACCGAGAGATTTGGATATTGTTACATTCCTAATAATAATAATAATAATAATAAAACAGCTGTGCTCTAAGGATAGACAGCAACAATCAGTCTGCCTTAAACAGCTCTATAATTAAAGACAGTTTAACGAAAAAACATTGAATCGTGAAATCTTTGCAGACTTTTTATGAAAACCGTTACTTTGTTTGCTTTCTGTTTTGACCAGAAGTGCAGGTAGCATTATTAGACTGCTGAATACCACCTCCGAGTCTTGAGGTCTATGTGTGTCCACTGGAAGAAGCTGCTTTGCCCCCTGCTTTTCTGCCCCTGTCCGAAAGTGTCTCCAAACGAGGTTCATTATGTTGATCTCTCGGAGTTCCCTTAACGATCAGACTGACTTGTGGTGGAGTTTGTGTCCTTCCTGTGAGGGAGGGTAGCTGAGCGAAGCCGCTTCATGTTCACATCTTGTCCGTGCTCTGCTCCTGCCTCTGCTCCTGCCGCTGCTCCTGCCTCTGCTCCTGCCTGACAGATCTCTCTGCTTGTTAGTCTGGGTGAAGCTGGGTGGAATGACCTCAAACTATTACACAAAAACAGAGACTAATACCAAAACTTTTCTTTCACACGTAGCAGCTAAGCATGGTTCTATTATATTCACCAAAGACAATGACATTTTTGTACTTCGTATTTTTGTATTTGTTGTCTTAAAACTGCATATAGTTCCAAATGTGAATCAAATTTTACATTGACTTTACAATTTTAAACACATTATTTCTTTAATTGGTCTATATCAGATAATAATTTAAAAAATGTGGACTATAGACAGAATAAAATCAAATATTTGCTTTAGATAAACTTAAAATTGTTGAAAAATCTGACACATTTTCATTTATTTATGCAGTTTAACGCCAGTATCATTCCTTTGGTGAATAACTAAACAAAAATTAACCACATTTATGGAAGATAATTTGTTCCATCAGATCTAGAAATTTAAATACCACTGAATTTCTCACTTTGAATTTTTTTTTTTTAAACTTTTCTTATTTAAGTTGCTGAAATTTAAAGTAGGCTTTTTCAATATATTGCAACTTCAGAACACAAATTTCACCTTTTAAATATTCAGCACAAATATTTTCAATTCCTCAGACAGTCAAAATTCACAATGAAAATTTCACAACAAAGATCCAAGATGCCAAGGCAAAAGCAATCGATCACATGAGTGAGGAAGACAGAGGCTGTTTCCTGTTCGCCGTTCTCGTGTGTATGGGCGGGTTTTACTCTTAAAAATAAATAATATATAAATAAAAAATAATAGAAATAACTGAGATGAGGTTTGGATGAGGCTCATTTTGAACAATCCAATTTCCCGTTTGTTACTAAGTTCGATCGGATCACTTTGGATCGATAACTTCTGCCTTGGCATCTTGAATCTTTCCTGCGAATTTTCTTCACTGCGAATTTTACACAATGTTGAATTTAAGGGCTTGAAAATATTTGTGTTGAATATATAAAAGGTGTAATTTTTATATTTCATTTTAAACACACAAGAGTTAAAAGTGAGAAATTCAATTGCATTTAAAATTCTAAATGTGATGAAACAAATAATTTTCCGTAACATTTATTTAACATTTACGCTATGGTATATGTAAACTTTGTACTTTCCATATCTTTTACTTGCTGTATTAAGTTAAATACAGTGCGTGCATCTAATAATCCCAGGATGCACCTCGACGCTGACCGCTAGAGCTTGTCCCACTCGCGGCTGTGCACGGCTTGTGTTGTTTAGCCTCTTAGCCTGTGTAGCTGTGGCGTCCGGTTCCTGTTTTAGCCGTTGGTTTGGACTCATGTTAAACCTCCTCATCGCATGCGCTTCATAACCTGATCTTTTGCATCTCCCCGGCCCCTCTGTGCGCTCCCCCTTTGTTCCTCCTCCTCCTCCTCTTCTTCCTCCATCGGTGCATTTTTTTTTTAGATGTTTCAGCCCATAATCCTGTTCATCCTGGTCCTAGTGCTGTTCACGTCCCTCTCATACGCTGTCATCTTTAAGTTAGTCTTTTTATTTGCGCTTTTCTTCGTACTGTAGAATCCTTGTATGTTTTTGTGTTTGAGTTTACCCTTTGCATATCAAGGCTGCACAATTTTATTATTTAATATTTAATCAATTGTAAATATTGTTTGATTTCACTTAGTTTAGATATAGTTTCGACGCTAACTTCAAGGTTACACTATTTTATGATCTGTGTTATAATCTTTTCTCATTAAAAACAGACCTGGAGTTGTGTTTTTGTTTCATTCACACAAGTTTAACTCACAAACCCTGCAGATTTAGGCTGAGTTCTTCTCTCAAACTTAAAACACTGTTCCAGGATGTGCTCCACCATGTTTTTAAACTCCATACACCATGGATCTGTAGTAAAAAACTGGGTAAGCCCCTCCCACTCAGTCCCAGCTTGAGACTGACTAGTGGCCACTCCAGGTACTGCAGCTCCTTGGAATGTGGGCATGGATCTATTAAAATAACTGGATAGGCTGTTGCTGCTTGTAGCTGCCTCCAGTTGACGTAGTGACACTCACTGGAACTTCAGCGGAAAAACAAGACAAGTTTTTTTCACAGAGCGCAATGTAATCACAAATGTCTTATGTTCGACTGACAGGGCACCTACACCTTTCAAGAATGTCAGATTTTGTGGCGATTTTTACCTATTTTTAAGATCATAAACTTTTTCTCAGCTCAAAATCCTTCAGTTGTCTTAAAAAATACTTTATAATCGTTAGCTCCAGCTACACTCTGCTTCGCTCTAGCTCCTTTCGCTCTGATTGGTCAAAGCGATCACGTCATACACAAGCCCGCACTCCGTGCTTGTGGTCACATGCATTCGCGTGTGCCTGTGACAGAAAAGAGCACTACTGCACATGCTCAATCAGCCCAGAGTCATTGGAAGTACCTCGCAGGGCTAAAGACAAATCTGGAGTCATGCGTCATTGAGCTCGGCCCATTGACTTGAAGGGGCGACCATTTTGAAACCCCGGGGCTTGACTTGAGCCCAGAAAGAATTCTCTCACAGAGCGCAATGCATTTTGGGAAGTCAAACTGCCCGTGCTCAGCTGACAGGACATCCACAACTTTCACAAAGGTCAGATTTTGTAGGGATTCATTTCTATTTTCACAACATTTTTTTTTTTTTTTAAATCCTCGAAGCACCTAAACGTTAGCTTTGTAAGACTTAACCTAGCCCTGCTCTGAGCCCGTGCTCGCTCCGCTCTAGCAGCTCTTGTTCTGATTGGTCCAAATGCTCCACGCCGTACACGTTACCGATGTCACACAGGTGGGAGGAGCTCGCCTATATTGAGGAAGTAAATACGGTAGAGAAAATTATTTTTGGGCCCACACACAAATGAGCACAGACCACTGAAAACAACACGACGCCATCTTGGGTTCACCTTCCAAATTTTATTATAGTTCTGTGCCACACACCTTCACTACAATCATTTTGATTATTTCAGCTCAGGAATTTCCAAAAAATAAAAGGTAGCTGTTAACATGAAAACTACCGCTTTGTGACATCAGAAGGTGGAACAGAGCATTTTAAGCTTTGGAGATGTAGACAGACTAATAATGCAGGATTACTCAAACATGTGTGAATGAAACAAAACACAACTCCAGGTTTGTTTTTGATCAAGTAACAACAGTATAACATGGCTAAAAGCTCACAAGAGTCTTTAATTTAACCTTTAATTGTGAAACTCTGGTTTAACCACTCGCTCTTCAACCAGAGGCTCTGTGGTTTGAGCCTCATTTGAGCACAGCTGCTCACTACAACATTCTGTTCATTTAACTTTATGTGACTAGTTAGGACAAATTTTTTGAAAAGACAGTTCTTTCTTGAAATTCTGAACTCTGCTCCCATTGCATTAACAATTAGAGGAATTTTGGGTCTTTTATGGCATTTGAATCGTCATCAGTTCATGTCAAAGAGCCGTTTAAAAGACTGGCTCTTTCAGTATTTATTTATATGACAGACGCCAGTGTGATAACTCATATACCAAACTAATCACTGAGGCTCAGATCTGTTTAAAATGGTTCAAACTGAGAGTGGGAGTGTGTTTACCCTTTGAAATTATTATTGAAATTACTGTATCTGTGTAAAAAGCTCTCACTGGTGTTGCTGACTCTGCTTCTGTGCTGATGAAAAAGATTTGGTTCTTTGAAAAAACGAGAATCTGTTCCAACTATTCACGTCAAAGGACCTTTATTACAGTATTTTCTGATTTGTTGTAATGTTGTTTCCTCATCACAAACAGACCTGGAGTTGGGTTTTGTTTAATTTACACAAAAGAACAGATCATTTTGAGCTTTGGAGATAACTCAAAAATGTGTGAATGAAACAAAAACACAGCTCCAGGTTTGTTTTTTGAGGAGGTAACAACATTATAACGTGCTTTAAAGTTCACAAGAGTCAAATTTGCCTAATAAAAAAATGAAATATAATAATAGAAAATCCAAAATACAAGTTAAAACCACACAAAACTTTTTCCAAACATTGTGCAGCGTCCCTTCAGTTTATTTAAGTCCACCCTCATTCCGTGTTCAGTTTTCATCTGTTCCCCGTCCGATCACTCTCTCCTCCCTCACCGGTTTGTCTTCTGTGTGTTTTGTCCACTCTTCATACACGTCCACCTCCTCCTCCTCTTCCTCCTCTTCCTCCTCACCTCCCCCAACCCTCCCTCCTTCCTCCCTCCTTCCTCTTCCTCCTTCCTCCTCCCCTCACCACAGCCCTGTCCGAGGGATGAGCTGGAGTGGCGACTAGCTCAGGAGCGGTGCGCGGTCCCCGGACTCTCAAAGTACCAGCGGGGCCTGGCCTTAAGAGCAGAGGTCAGTCTCTCACTTGTCGCCTCATGTTACATTAATATTAGGCTTGTTCCGGTTCTGACGAGCTCTGATACTACACATTTTTCAAGTATCGGCATCTGCCAGTACTCAGAACAAATCACTGATCCGATATCACTCTGTATTTTCTGAATAAGGACAGGTAGATGTTAGTGGACGTCTAATACCAAAAAGCTCAGAGAAGGTTAAATACAGACAGAATAACAGAAAAGATATTTGTGTACATTATTTGATACCTTCATTAGGGTGTCCAGATGTCCCTATTTACCCGGTACAGTCCCAGTTTTGAGCCCTGTGTCCCCTGTCCCAGCAGATTTAATCAAAACCATTGATTTGTCCCAGTTTTTAACTATAAGAAATGTGCCAGGTGTCCCTATTTTTGACCAATTTGATCCCTGTCGACAGTAAAGAGAAGCATAAATTGTCATTTGTTGAGGTAAAATAAAGAAAAGCTGCTTAAAAATGACCAAAACACAAAGAAAATGTGACTATACTGACTCACATTAGGGCCGAGTGCGTTACAATTTTCCTTAATTACTCACAATTTTATTATTACAAACCTAACCCAAACCGAGGATGTCCAAGTTTTTTTTTTTTTTTTTTTGACTTCGGACTTTGTTTGAGGATGAGTCTTTTCACAGGCCTCAGTTTTGGTTTTATCTACACTCTGTGGTAGAAAGTGACAGTAAAAGAAGTAGAAAAGTAAAATAAATCAGCACAAAGTATCTTAACACTTCTTCAAAATCTTATTCTTGTAGATTTTCTTTAGACATAGCCTTTTAGTAGATTTATTCTTTGCTATTAAACTATAACAAAATTGATTAGCCTTAGTTTACTTCTTGACATTATGCAGTATTGGAATGGTATTGGTATCGGTGAGTACATTAAGGCCAAGTATCGGTATCGGATCCCCCCCCAAAATGGTACTGGAACAACACTAATTGATATTACAGCGCCTGTGAGGTTAGTTTACCAAGTGTTGATCCCCGTTTAAAGTGCAGATATGACGATTCTTAAATTTTTACTTACTTTGGTACCTGTTGTAAATGTAAATGATAGTTTTACAGCTGAAAAATATGTGTTTAAAATGATAGAAAACGTATTTTAGAGAGATCCATATGGAGAATTCTATCCCAAAGTTTTGGCACAATTTACACAAAAGAAACCAATTTATTTTCCGATGCTTAAATGTTCAGCTGTACACATCAATAAACACACTTAGAGAAGTTTGAGAAAAGTCAAGTAAATATACAAAATTGATTTAAACAACACATTATCAGGAGCTCGTGATCAATACGAGCGTTCGTGGTGCTGTGTAGGAGTTTGATTTTCGACAAAAAGGTGAGAATGACGAACTAAAAAACTGTTGTACTTCCAGCTTGGTCAGTTTTTTATGGTTAGATTGTGTCAAGTCTAATTTGCGTAACAGCTTCAGACAGAGCAGTGCCTCCAACTGCAAAGTATAAATACATTATTGCATTACATGACTACAGTAGAGGTACCAGATGTTGTTATTTACCCAGGACAGTCCCAGTTTTGAGCCCTGTGTCCCCTGTCCCAGCAGATCTATACAAAAACCGTGATTTGTCCCAGTTTTATACAAGAAATGTCTCAGTTGTCCCCATTTCTTACCAATTTGAGCCCCACCAACAGTAAAGAAGGGAATATACTGTCATTTGTTTAGCTAAAATATACAAACCATGCTTGAAAATTACCATAAATCAAAACAAAAAAAGCAACAACAGTCCCTCAGATTATGACTGACCCACAATTGAGTCGAGAATGGATCATATTACGTGCTCGTTTCACAATTTTATTCATACCAACCATCCAAACCCGAGTGTGTCCCAGTTTTTCATTCTGAAAATCAGGGCACCATATGTTTTTGGTGGCTGGGAATAATAAAATTGTGAAACGAGTGCTTACTTAAGGAAAATTGTCATGCAGAGACCACTCCCGACGAATATATGAGTCAGTATAGTCAGATTTTCTTTGTGTTTTGGTCGTTTTTAAGCAGCTTTTTTGGTATTTTACCAAAACAAATGACAATGTATGCCTCTCTTTACTGTTGTTAGGCATCAAATTGGTCAAAAATAGGGACATTTGGAACATTTCTTGTATAAAACTGGGACAAATCACTGCTTTTATATAAATCTGCTGGGAGAGGGGACACAGGGCTCAAAACTGGGACTGTCCCGGGTAAATAGGGACGTCTGGTCACCCAAATAAATACACTACTCCTGCATTACGTGACTACAAAATCTTGCACTTGTAATTTTCATTTCAGTTTACGATTCCCCTGCACGGTCAGCACACTCCTGCATCTAATGAAAGCCATAAAGAAGCCAGTTTATCATCCACTAAGTCCGACCATGAATCAGCAATTTATCAAATCCTCTCTTCCGATAATCCCACATGCAGAATGTCGTGCTCCCCGTGTCCATCGAGAAATCCCTCACCACAGAGTTACATAAGAACACGGGCAAACCCCCACAGTTATGGCATATAGGCTCATAGTCCATGTGCTTATGCTGGAAAATGAATGAATGAGAAACCAGCTTCGGGATTAACTGCGGCTTTGAGCGGCCACAAGCACGTTTTAAATTATCTGTGGGCACAAAAATCTGAATAAAAAAATGTCTGAGTAATGTGTTTTGATTGAAAAAAAAAAAAAAAGCATAAAAAAGGCATAAAAACATAACATCATTGTCTTGTGTTTTTGGTCAGATCCGGGATTCTTCGGTCTCTGACGTTCACTTCAGGTTGGACCCAGAACGAAGACTGAAGTCCAGCTCAGAGGAGGCCCCCTTCTGCCTCACACAGGTACTGCAGAGCTCACAAAACACCACCAGAGGGCGCTTGGACTCCATCTGCTGGCACTTTAAAGCTAAAAACAAAGCTAGTATCAAAGTTACTATAATAAAACTTGCTTAGAGTGACCAGAATTTCAAAATAAAAAACTGTGACACTCTCGTTTTGCGTAATTGGTAATAATAAAATTGTGAAACGAGTGCGTAATTAAGGAGAATTCTTCTGCACTATTAACATGTGAGTCAGTATAGTCACATTTTCTTTGTGTTATGGTAATTTTTAAGCAGCTTTTCTCTATTTTACCTCAACAAATGTCAATGTATATCTCTCTTTACTGTCAACAAGTATCAAATTTGTCAAAAATAGGGACATTTCTTTTACAAAACTGTGACAAATCAATGGTTTTGGAGAAATCTGCTGGGACAGGGGTCACAGAGCTCATAACTGGTACTGTCCTGGGTAAATAGAGATGTCTGGTCACCTTAAACTTTATAAAAACAAAGAAATGCTCAAAACTTGTAAGTGAAGTAACACAGAGAAACTAAAGGCTTTGTACCAGATTTATTATATTTCTTAAAAACATGAAAGCTTGAACTCATTCCTCACTTTTCTACCACATTCCCAACCTCCTAATTATTCAACCCAATGATTTTATAAATGCTTTTTACAATTTTCAGAGGCTAGAGTAGAATCACAGTCACAGTAATACTAACAGCAACCAAGTATGAGATTATTCTGTATTATTTTAAAGATCCATGACAACAACTAACATTCTAATAGTGCACTTCCTGGTTCGCAGAGGATAAAAACACTTTGTAATCACCGGGCAAAACACATTTTACTGTATTACATGAAAACTAATCGGGTACAGGCTCTTCGGCACACTGTCCCATGATTTATTTGTAGTAAAGTACTGTACTTAAGAACAAATTTAAGGTATCTGAGTACATTTTTAAGTGGACATTTTTTATTTACTTTTACTTCACTATATTTGAGAGCAGGTTTCTGTACTTTCTAGTCCACTACATTTTTGAACAGGACTAAAAAGTAAAAGGTCTGAGACCTGCTGAAAAGTCTGAGGGGTTATTTATTTTTAACATGTTCATAGTTTGATCAAATCAGTTGTTTCTATGGAGCAAAATTCTGCGCAAATCTTTATCAAAATCACTACATTTTAAGATTCATCAGATCTCATACTTTTAGTTTTTACTCTTTACTTTAAGTAGATTTTCCATGTGATACTTTTGCTTGAGTATTTTTTGCAGCGGTGTATGTACCAGACTATAAGTCACACTTTTTTTCATGGTTTGGGTGTTTCCTGTGACTTATACTCCAGTGTGACTTATATATAAAAATTTTCAGACTGACAGCCGCAAGAGGCTCTGGACTTGTATGTCAGTATCTAGTACTACTTTTAGTCCTGTACCACTGTCTCTTCGCTCTTTACTGAGCATGCCTCCTGGAGAAATAGCCGCTGTCTCTCCGCAAATAATAATTCAGCCGAAAACAGTAATCGAGCAGCAGAAAGAAAGTTTGGAGTGAGCGAGAAACTTGTGAGGGACTGGCAGAAAGTGGGGATGGAAAACACAGTTTCACGTCAACCGGGCGGGTGAGCCATGCAAATTTCCTAGAAGTCACTGGATGAATCGACAAAGCCTGACAATCAAAACCATCCTGTCGGGATTCAGAAAGGCTGGAATAATTCTAACTGGAACTGATGCTGAGACAGCTATGCAGAAGAGGAAGCGGTGCTCTGTTTACAGCACGGATCTATAGTTTATCTCCGGAGGTCGCGCAGAAGTGACACTGAGGATGAAGAATTCAATGGATTTAGTGATTTGTTGTGAGATGGAGAGTTTGGTAAACTTATGTTATGTTGTTTGTGCTATAATTATCTAAATAACTGTTCATATGTTACGTTTACATATTAACGCATGTTCAGCCTGTTGTTCTTTGTTCTATTGTTGTTACTATAACTTGCCTTTCAAGCTGAAATGTCAGTTCCTGGTCTCTGATTTTATAAAATTAATTTCCCCAAAAAGTGCAGCTTATAGTCCGGTGCGACTTACATATGTTTTTTTCTTCTTCTTTGTGTGTTTTTTTGGCTGGTGCGATTTATAATCTGGAAAATATGGTACTTTTTTTTAAGTAACAAAACTGAGTACTGAGTACTCCCAGTTGGAACGAAGCTGGTGTCAAAGTTGCTATAACAAATTGAAAAAAAACCCCAGTGAAAACAGTTACATGATCACTTGCTGTAACTCTATCTCATGATTTGTTTTCTCCAGGAGGACGAGCGGCTCCGTGCAGAGGCCCAGCGCGGCGCTCTGCAGCTACCCGGCCTCCAGACTCACGACTCGGGCTGGCCTCAGGAGAGAGCCGCCCTGCACCAGGAGCTCCGACTCTTCAGGAGAAACACCATCATACTGTATATGAAACTCAGGGCCACTCTGGCACAGTGGAGGAGCAGGCACAGGGAGGAGCCAGCAGAGGGCGCAACACAGCCAGAGGTCAGACAACACTCAGGGGATTATGTCATAAGTGTATGCATTTGTTTACTTTGTGGACCATAGATCTTTTACACAAGCGATTGGGGTAAAGAGTTAGAGACATTCAGCAAATTACTGGGAAACTTAAAGAGGAGATATTACACTTTTTAATATTTGCTCTACTGCACATTGCGTCAGGATTGTGAAGTTGTAGGCAAGCTGTAAATTGCTGTGTGGAAGCATTGGTGACAAGTTTGAGCCCAGGAGAGATCACTAAATTACTCAGACTTGCACTGATGACATATAAAACCTTGTCTGACATGTTTTTGATGAGGAAACAGTATAGAAAGCTCTAAAAAGTAAATTTTGCACAATACCTCTCTGTATCACTACATTAATAAACTAAACTGGTACTAAACCCAGAATTAAACCAGGACTAGAACAGGACCAAAACAAGTCCATGCCAACAATTGGGCTCAAACCAGGACCAAATGAGAGCAAGTGAATGCACCTTTAACTCACACTCATGCAAAAATATTACTATTAAATTACAATTTCTTATCATATACAGTTCGAAAACTTTGAAACTTTAGCAACAAATCCTCACCTTAACTTTACAAAGCGGGAGGATGATATGGAGTCTTTTTTTTTTTTCTTTTTTTTTTTTACAAATAAGTATGACAAGATTTTTGTGCTCAGACTTAGATTTAGACAAACTTTATTGACCCACAAGGGAAATTATTTGGAGACAGTAGCTCAAACATCACAATATACGTAATATAATAACAAAGAGCGAAAATATAAATGGTCATCATAAATTCTAAATATACACACATAAACAAGCTATTTGATAATTGCTCCGACTCACGTAATATTTAGATTTGATTGCGATATATTATTTTAGTTTGAAGAGCCAGTTGATAATTGGCGGTGGCATCAAGCTGGGAGTGTACTGTATGCATGTCTATGATGGAATGTTCAGCAGTTAACATGGTCATACAGAGCACACACACATACACTACACAGTTTTAATACTGAAGTCTTAAAAGTAACACATTTTCTGAAGCCTGTGATCAACTCGAGCGTTCATGGTTCTGTTTAAAGATTGATTTTCAACAAAAACAGTGAGAGTGACTAACTGTTAAACTGTTGCTGAAAAACTAATGCGAGTTTGTGACTGTAATGTGATGTGAGGGACTTGTTTAACAGCGTAAATCACAGCTCCTGTTGTAGTTCCAGCTAAGTCAGGTCTTTATGGGCACATTATTTTAAAACAAAGCCTGGATTCTGACTTGAATAACAGAGCTTCAGACGGAGCAGTGCCTTCGGTTAGCATCACACCCCCAGGGAATATTGATGACATCAGTTGGAAATAGGGATGTAACAATATCCAAATCTCACCAAATGATATTATCACGATATTCATCTCACGTTACGATATTTATTGCAATACTTTGATGAGGCTGATATAACTGTAGATAGGACACTTTTTTTGCTTTTAAAATATCTTGACAAGATTTTGGTGTGAATTATTTCCATCATAATCCCAAGGATTCAAGTAAAAACATCTCTTCATGTTGTCTGCACTGAAATGAATCATGGGATATGTAGTTCCCAATGTTTATAAGCTGTTGCTACTATAAAACCATGCATTCAAGCAAAGGAACTTGTGATTTGATTTATTGTGACAGCCCACGATATTATTGTGAGACTTTTGACGATACGATATCACAATATTTTGGTTATTTTTACCTCCCTAGTTGCAAATTGTCAATAATAAAGCAACATAACAGAATGTACCTAAACTTAAAGGGCCCAGGTGACGCTGTTTTATGATCTACGTTATACTGTAATGTTGTTTCCTCATCACAAACAAACCTGGAGTTGTGTTTTGTTTCATTCACACACCCTGCATATTTAGAGAGTTTTTCACTCTCAATGAAAGCACTCTGCTTCACCTTGTGATGTCATGTGGTAATACAGGAAGAACTCCACTGTGTTTCTAAACTCCATACACTTTCATTAGAATCATTTGGATAATTTCAGCCCTGGAATTGCCAATCTACTGAACTAAAAGTAAGCAAAATGTAGCTGTTAACTTGAAAACTACAGCTTCATGACATCACAGGGTGCATTTTCAGCTTTGGAAATGTAAATAGACTAATAATAAAAGATTACTCAAACGTGTGAATGAAAAAAACACAACTCCAGGTTTGTTTTTGATGAGGTGACAGCGTTATAACATGGCTTAAAGCTCAATTTTGTGTAATATACGACCATTAAATGACTTAAACTGTTGTTGTTTTGCAGTTGGAGAGACTGGAGGGGATCCCGGAGCTGAGCGTGGAGCAGACAGAAGCAGAGACAGAGCGCGAAGATCGACTGAGTTTAGCCCACGGCACAGGCGATGTCACGGAAACAGCGCCCCCTCTCGCCCTGCCCTCACCTGACAGGCACCTGCAGCACCAGAGACAGGTAAATACTCCAACCCACGCTGCGTGAACATATATTGACTGATTGATTGGAGAAGAGTAATGGACCATGAAAGTAGTTGAAATAATGTATGCAAGGAACCCAGGGTATGTTTGTGATGAGTATGCAGTGGTGAGTAGAGCAGCCAAATAGTAAGAATAATGCCGTACACTTGTAATGCGCTTTAAAGTGAGCCACTGTCACGCCAAGTAAGAATAATGTTACTTTGAAATAATATTACTCAAGTAGAAGCACAAAGTAGTGGTCCAAGAAATTACTTAAGTAACTACTATAAAAATTCATTTGGGAAAACTACGACTCCAGCATCCCCATTTCCATTTTCTTCCCCCGGATAAGCGGAAGAAAATGGATGGATGGATGACTCCAGCATTTAAAGTGATCTATCTCACGTCTATTCAAAAGCAGATATTTTTATTGCTTGAAGATACCCTGAAAAACATGCATTCTTACTGTGTCACCTCTCCACAGATGTCTCCAAGGAGATAGATCAGCTCATTGTTAGATATTCAATAATTCATTCTTAATAGCTGCACAAAAGTGGTGCCAGTATTCAGCCCAAAAGATGTGATTGTTGTCTTAAAGATGAATATGGTAAGTTTATTTTGTGAGAAGTGTTTACTCCTGTGGTGGTACACAAACACAATTTTAAACCTAAGTATAGAGGAAGAGCGTCACCGTGCTGTTTATAGTGAGGCTGGAGTGTGCGTCACAGGTGGTGTGACAGTTCATGTGCTGAAGGGAGCGCTAACAAGATGTAGCACCTCTGTGGAGTAAGTTTAGTGTCTATTGAATTAAATATAGGTTAGTCTACGGTAGCCCCGCAGGGACATTAAGCTGGTGAGAAAGAATAGGGTGTTAATATTATGATTTTATGATCATTAATGCATGATTTTGAGTTCAAAAGTACTATGGGGTATGTTATATTCCCCTTGGTACTCTGAGAATATGAAGTTTTAAACCCTCACCTAAATAAAAATATAGAATAATAGTGTCTCTTTAAAGGTGCACTCTGTAATTTTTCTGGTTTGATCACCTGCTTGTCTTCATTTTGTTTTTACAGACAGACCCAGAGTTGTGTTTTGTTTGATTCACACATGTTTAACACACAAACCCTGCATATTTAAGATATGTTTATATGATGACGGTCTGAACAGAAGACGCAAAAGTGGTGTTGTGTCTTCACTTTTTATTCCGTGTTTAGACGAGCATTTTCAGGAGGAAATCTGCGTGCATACGGTGACGCAAAAGTGTGTGGAATTTGATTGTGTATGCATGCCAGGCAGCTCGGTGTTGATGTATGTGAAGTAAATGTGTACGTGACGTGAGCAGATCTGAGCAGAGTTTTGCGTCTTGGGCAGTGTAGACGGAAACGCTACAGCTTCAACTTTTACACTCTGGAGGGTGGTTTCTAGGGATGTAACAATAACCGAAATAGCGTGTATCGTATCTTCAAACGTCCCACAATAGTATCATGGGGCGTCACAATATATCGAATGACAGGTTCCTTTGCTTAAATGCATTGTTTTAGAGCTGCAATAGCTAATAAACATCAGGAACTACATATCCCATGATTCATTTCAGCGCAGAAAACATGAAGAAATATGTTTTTTAGTTGAATTCTTGGGATTATGACAATAATAATTCACACCAAATTCTTATCAAGGTATTTTAAAAGCAAAAAAACATCCTATGTACAATTATATCATCCATCCATCCATCCATTTTCCTCCGCTTATCCGGGGCCGGGTCGCGGGGAGCAGCCTAAGCAGGACTCCCAGACTTCCTTCACCCCAGACACGTCCTCCAGCTCCTCCGGGGGACCCCGAGGCGTTCCCAGGCCAGCCGAGAGACATAGTCCCTCCAGCGTGTCCTGGGTCTTCCCCGGGCCTCCTCCCGGCGGGACATGCCCGGAACACCCGAGGGAGGCGCCCAGGAGGCATCCGGAACAGATGCCCGAGCCACCTCAACTGGCTCCTCTCGACGTGGAGGAGCAGCGGCTCTACTCCGAGCTCCTCCCGTGTGACTGAGCTCCTCACCCTATCTCTAAGGGAGCGCCCAGCCACCCTGCGGAGGAAACTCATTTCGAGCGCTTGTATCCGCGATCTCGTCCTTTCGGTCACTACCCAGAGCTCATGACATAGGTGAGAGTAGGAACGAAGACTGACCGGTAAATCGAGAGCTTCGCCTTTCGACTCAGCTCCCTCTTCACCACAACGGTCCGATACAGCGACCGCATCACTGCCGAAGCTGCACCGATCCGCCTGTCAATCTCACGTTCCGTCCTTCCCTCACTCGTGAACAAGACCCCGAGATACTTGAACTCCTCCACTTGAGCAAAGACTCCCCACCCACTCGGAGAGGGCAAGCACCTTTTTCCGGTCGAGAACCATGGCCTCGGACTTGGAAGAGCTGATCTTCATCCCAGCCGCTTCACACTCGGCTGCAAACCGCCCCAGTGCACACTGCAGGTCCTGGTTCGATGAAGCCAACAGAACAACATCGTCCGCAAACAGCAGAGATGAATCCTGTGGTCCCCGAACCGGACCCCCTCCGGCCCCTGACTGCGCCTAGAAATTCTGTCCATAAATACAATGAACAGAACTGGTGACAAAGGGCAGCCCTGGCGGAGTCCAACATGCACCGGGAACAGGTCTGACTTACTGCCGGCAATGCGAACACAGCTCCTGCTCCGGTCATACAGGGACCGGACAGCCCTTAGCAAAGGGCCCCGGACCCCATACTCCCAGAGCACCCCCCACAGGACACCACGAGGGACACGGTCAAATGCCTTCTCCAGATCCACAAAACACATGTGGACTGGTTGGGCAAACTCCCATGAACCCTCGAGCACCCTATGGAGAGTGTAGAGCTGGTCCAGTGTTCCACGGCCAGGACGAAACCACACTGCTCCTCCTGAATCCGAGGTTCGACTATCGGCCGGATTCTCCTCTCCAGTACCCTGGCATAGACCTTACCGGGAAGGCTGAGAAGTGTGATCCCCCTATAGTTGGAACACACCCTCCGGTCCCCCTTCTTATACAGAGGGACCACCACCCCGGTTTGCCAGTCCAGAGGTACTGTCCCCGACCGCCACGCGATGTTGAAGAGGCGTGTCAGCCAAGACAGCCCCACAACATCCAGAGACTTCAGGTACTCAGGACGGATCTCATCCAACCCCGGAGCCTTGCCACCAAGGAGCTTGCCAACCACTCAGTGACTTCGGCCAGGGTGATGGATGAGTCCGCCTCCGAGTCCCCAGCCTCGGCCTCCTCCTCGGAAGACGTGACGGTGGGATTGAGGAGATCCTCAAAGTATTCCTTCCACCGCCGGACAACGTCCCAGTCGAGGTCAGCAGCTCTCCCCCCGCACTGTAAACAGTGTTGGTCAATTATATCAGCCTCTCCAAAATATCGCATTAAACATCATATCGTGAGATGCATATCGTGATAATATCAAACTAAGAGATTTGGATATCGTTACATCCCTAGTGGTTTCAGATTTTTGCATTTTTAAGCCTCAAAAATGTCATTACCGTCTAAACGAAAGGCACTTACAGTAAAATATTTTGTTGTTTTTACCCGCAAGCGTTCTCTGGTAAACAGGCCCTTAGGCTGAGTTCTTCTTTCAAACAGAAAACAGTCTGTTCCACCTTGTGATGTCATGTGGTAATACAGGAAGTGGTCTACTGTGTTTTTAAACTCTATACACTGTGTTTTTAAACTCTCCACAGAACAAAATGCAAGTCGTAGTTCTTAACATAAAAACTACCACTACATGACATCACAAGGTGGAACAGAGCATTTTGAGGTCTGGAGATGTAGACACACTAATAATAATGAATGAATAGCCTTTATTGTCAATTCAGGAATCAAAAATTAGACCTCTAATAATAACTCTAATAAAGAGTGAAGAAAAACAGGTCAAGCACTTCACTGGGTCTTAAAAGAGTAAAAAATAGCAGTACACGTGCTCTATGAGGGTTAAAACAGTAGTCTTTAAACAGAAAGTTACCCATACTGGAAAATATAAAAATGTGGTCACTTTGCCCTGACGAAGACCATCTTGCTGGTCGAAAAGTGTTGGCGTCCCTTCATGCAATAAAGGACTTTTAATATATTCAGTTGGAGTGCCTCAGGTTTGTACCTTGCCCATTTTTACATTTTCCAGTAAGAGTAACTTTCTGTTTAAAGACTAATAATAAAGAGTTACTAAAATGTGTGAATGAAACAAAACATAACTCCATAACTCATAAAGGTTTGTTTTTGAAGCGGTAACAACATTATAACATGACTTAAAGCTCACAAGAGTCAATAGTGCGTAATATAGAATCTTTAATGTTGAAAATCAGATTCTGTTGTCTAAATAAATAGTGTTTTTATCATTGTGTTGAATCAGTCCTGAGTATTTTAGTATCATAACACTAATCTGGCCTGAAACTGTGAACGCACCCTTCATCTGACCCTTTAATTAGAGGAAATACATATGTTGCTGTAGCTAAAAGAGCTCGATCAAACATTGAACTTGTGTGAGGGAGATTCACTGCACGGCAATTAAAATTTTAAGCCAATAACTAGAGCAGTTTGCCCGATATGTAAATGAGAGCGCTGCCCTACATACACTATAGACACATGCATTCACTCACTGTGGTAAAGATCATCACCGGAGGGTTTCATTGTACTGCATTGTTTTGTAATCAGACAAATGTCCCTTTGTAAAGCTTTACAGGCTTAGACACATGGCTGAAGTGAGCTGCAAGAGACTCAAATGTTCAAATCACTTCATATTGTCAACATAAATCTTTTGTAGGAGGTTATAAGTACTTCTATAAAAAGATACGCAAGTAAATCTAACTCAGTGCTCCTCACCTCTGTAGGTTATTAGATTTTGCTGAATTAGAGACTGAGAAATTGAGAGAGTGAGAGACAGAGAGACTTTAATATGAGACGTTTTTCAATCCATGTGTACAGAAGAGAGGGAGAGAGAGAATATAGATGGGGAGAAAGAATGATGGAGAGAAACAGTGAGAGGGAGGAAGGAAGACAGAGAGAAACAAGAAGGTGGAGAGAAGGAGGCGGAGAAAAACTGATAAGAGCGAAAGACAGGTAGATGGAGATAGTGAGGGAGTGAGGGAGTGATAGAGAAAGAGGGAGTGAGGCAGAGAGAGAGAAGGAGTGAGGGAAAGAGAGATGGAAAGGACAATGGGAGGTTGTGCAGTCTCAACAGGAAGCTGAGGCAGAGGACACAGAAGTCACAGTGAATTGATTGAGGGCTGTACTTTAGAGAGCAGCAGGTTTAGTTTAAAGGGAAAGGACGATAAAACGATGAAGTTACATTATGTGGTGGAAGTGTATTTTTAATCATATTTAGTTATTGCAACATGTTTGTCAGAGTCAAAATGAATTCTTTCTTTTTGTGTTTGTGAGAAGAATTACATCACAACATTTAAAACAAAAACATCAATGTCCAAATAGCACCTGAATTTTTTTTTTTTTTTCAACTAAAACTATGTGAAATTTAAATAAAACATGCTATTTTTTCCCCCTAAATTGTACATTTTAGCTTTAAGATACAGCCATGTTTCTGTTTTAGACCGTTTTCTGAGGACCATATAAATACATGTCAATTACAGCACATTATCAAATCTTATCTCATTTTATGTTTTGTAGTTATAAATACTACATTCATGTACATTTCAGTATTGTTTCTACAAATGTACATTTCTTTTCTACACATTTTCTGGGGGAGGACCAAGCCCTGGGGTCTAAAAATGGTCACCCATTCAAGTCAATGGGCCGAACTCAATGGCGCATGACTCCAAATCAATTTTTAGCCCGGTGAGGTACTTCCAGTGGCTGTGGGCTGATTGAGCATGTGCAGTAGTGTTCTTTTTTCCAATGGGCACACGAATTCACCCGAGCACACACGCGAGCATGGGCTTGTGTATCACGTGATCGCTTTGACCAATCAGAGCCAGAGGAGCTAGAGCGGAACCGGAGCGTTTTTTAAGACAACTGAAGGATTTTGACCTGAGAAAAAGTTTATGATCTAAAAATAGGTAAAAATCGCCACACAATCTGACATTTTTCAAAGTTGTAGGTGTCCCGTCAGCTGAACACGAGCAGTTTGTGATTACATTGCGCTCTATGAGAAAAATCCTCTCTCAGCCCAGGGGATTTTCTGCTGTAGTACCAGTGAGTGTCCACAATGTCAACTGGAGCCAGCTACAAGCAGCAGTACCCTCCAGTTGTTTTAATAGATCCATGGGGAGGACCTCCAGACCCCCATTTTCAATATATTTATCACACTGAACCACCCCTCTGTTTATAACACCTGATTTAGACTTTTCTGTGTTAGGGTTCAAGGTTCTTTATTTTGTCATTCAAACATGCGAGAGAAACACATGACAGAACGAAATGTGCTCCCCGAGGCCCAGTGATCCAGAAAGAGTTAAAAAACAATAATAATAAGCAATGTTAAAAAATAAACACATTTAAAACAACAACATTTAGCAGTTCCAATGAACAAGTAGTAAAACGTGGCAAGATAGAGAGAGAGGCAACCAAAGCAGGAAGTCAGTGTGCACTGTTCACAAGTCTGACAGCCTCAGAAAAGAAGCTAAACTTCAGCCGAGAAGTTCTAGCTTTAATGCTCCTCAGTCTCCTCCCAGAGGACAGAGGAACAAACAGATGGTGGGAGGGTGCGAGGGGTCCCCCATGATCCTGGAGGCCCGTCTTCTACAACGCTCCTCATAAATTTCACAGATGGGTGTAAAGTCACATCCAGTGATCTTCTCTGCTGCTCTGACCACACGCTGTAGAGCTTTCCTGTCCTGGGCTGAGCAGTGGCCGTACCACACTGTGATGGACTGGGTCAACACACTTTCCACTCCACATCGATAAAAAGACATGAGAGCAGGGAGGCCTAGTCCAGCAGCCTTGAGTCTCCTCAAAAAATACAGACGCTGGTGGGCCTTCTTAACAATGCTCGCTGCATTAGTGTTAGCCCAATCATTTTACAATTTTTTTTCTTGGTATAATTGTAATAAATTATCCTAACTATTATTTCTTCTTCTTCTTCTTCCCAGTTTGGTGAGAACAAGCGCCTCCTGCTGGCCCTGCGCTCTCTGCTGGAGGAGTTTCGGGAGGAGCTGAGGGAGGAGGAGAGGAGGCGGAGCCAGCTTCAGCAGAGCTTCGCCAGTGAGAAGGCCGAGTGGACAGTGAGAGAGAGCGCCATGAAGAGCCAGATCACACAGGTACAGATGGAGCGCAGCAGACAGTCCTTAAAGCCACACACACACACACACACACACACACACACACAATATGCCCCAGTGAGTTTGGACATGTGCAGATTCATGGATCACTGCCTCTGCAAATACAGGGCTAGATTTACCTGTAATTACACATCGTTATTCTGTTCTAATTCGACCATTCTCTTGACAAATATGAAGGGAAAATGATCATATAGCGCCCACAGAGGAGTGTTTTAAGCCTCATCCCACTTTTATTCTCTGGCTTTTTACACGGCGTGAGTTGTGTGGCCCTCTGTTGTCGTTTATTGTTCTGATTTATTCATTCTACTTATTTATTCTTATGGGTCAGTTTTATGGTTTTATTTATTTGTTTTTACACCATTGTTTTTATGATGTTTTTATTGTGTTAAATAGTAGATTTTTCTATGTGCAGCTCTTGGGAAACAGTCTTTGTTTATGCAATGTGCTATAGAAATAAAGTAGATTGGATTGGAGATGAGTATGTGAATAATAAATTTCAAAAATAATTAAAGAGCTCCTACGCTAAAGGTTTGGTCAAATAAAAAGGAAACATTTCGGACAAGAAAGCCTTCCTTAAATGGCCCATATTGTGCTATTTTTTTTTATTGAAGTGTGTTATAATGTTGTTTCCTCATCACAAACAGACCTGGAGTTGTGTTTTGTTTCATTCACACACATTTAACACACAAACCTGCATATTCTGCATAGTTCTCAATCTTTTTAAACTCCATACACCTTCATCCCTGAACTGCCAATCTCTATTGATCAAAACTTTTGCTTCATGACATCACAAGGTAGAATAGAGCATTTTGAGCTTGTGAGATGTACATACTAATAACAAATGGTTACTTAAACACCCAACTCCCCCGGCTGGCCTAGGAACACCTCAGACACGCCCTCCAGCTCCTTCAGGGGGACCCCGAGGTGTTCCGAGGCCGGCCGGGGCCTCCTCCTGGTGAAACATGCCAGAACACCTCAGCTGGCTCCTCGCGATGTGAAGTAGTTTGGTAGTAGTTTTTGGGGCCTTAATCGCTTAAAAATCAAATCAAGTTTATTTAAAACAGCCAAAGCTTACCAAAGTGCTGAACAACATTTACAGTGAAATAAAACATACAATAAGCAAATCAAGCAGAATTATAATAAAAATAATTATAACAGTAAGGAAAGGATTTATAAACGACTTTTATTCTTGCAAATCTATGTATTTCTCCTAAATTTGTAACTCCTCCATTGCAGCTGAAGGGAGAGGAGAGTGAAGCTGACGTGGACCCGGACCAGGCGTTGCAGCAGGAGAGGGAGGAGCACAAGAGGCTGCTGTCGGAGAGCCACAGCGCCACCTTGGACCTGCGCTGGAAACTGCAGCACGGCGAGAAGAGGTGGAGCCGCGAGAAGAGCGAGCTCCTGGACCAGTTCGAGCGCGAGAGGCAAGAGTGGGACTCCAGCATGAGGGAGATGCACCGCAAGATGGACCGGGTAAGACGCAGACAGGACCATAAGGGATGTGGCTCTAAGTCTATCTGGTGCTTTATTAGGCTTGAATCTGTGATTTAATTGAACAAAATCTGCCCATAAAAAACTGACTTAACTGTTCTTGCACTTAGTTTGTCACTCTCACCTTTTTGTTGAAAATTAAACTCAAAAATAGAACCATGAACACTCATATTGATCACAGGCTCCTGAAAATGTGCATGTCTTTTTTTTTTATTGTCAGGCAATCTTAAAACTTATTTGACAGTGTTTGCTAATTTGTGCATTGTGTCACCATTTTTAACTCCTAAACAGGGTTCCCACCGTTATGGAAATCCTGGAAAAGTTATGGAAACTGAAAGTGTCATTTTCCAGGTCTCAAAAAGTCATTCATGAAAGTTTTGGAAAAGTCATGGAATTGTAGTTTCTCTTTCACGCATCTGCAGCATTCTGTTAAGTTATCATTAGACTACTATGATTATTTCTGAACATCTGTGCTTTTTTGTTTAAAAGAGACGACAATAAATGCACTGACAGTATTTTGAAAATTAAAAAACTATAATCCCAAACCATAAAGTGAGTGGAAAGGGTCAACATTTCATATTTCTAAAAGTCTGATCAATTCTACACATGTAGGTGGCGTAAAGTCATGGAAAACTCACTTTAGGTCATGAAAAAGTCATGGAAAAGTTTTGAAATTTTGTCAGTGAAAACGTGTGGGAACCCTGCCTAAATATTCCACCATTAGAGATACATGAAGAACCTCCCAGTGGCTTTGTGAGTATCAATACTTTGTGTTTATGTGACATTACTTTGCATTGATGCACACAGGGGGGGTTCTGCGTGTATGTATGTTTATGGTAGAATGTTCAGCAGTTACCATGGTGACACAATGCACACATTTTCAGCAGTCTATGATAATTAAGTGTACATGGTCCCATTTAGGTGTTTGATTTTCAACAAAAAAGCTGAGAGTGACTAAATGAAAAACTATCAGTACAGGTATTGGTTAATGTTGTTGTTGTAGTTCCAGCTAAATCCATTCTTTCTGGTCATATTATGTAAAATTAGCTCAGATTAATAATAATTATAATACATTGGACTTATATAGCGCTTTTTTGGACACTCAAAGATGCTTTACAAACAAATAAGAATTGACACTGTTGAAAAGCGGGGAATCATGGAGGGAATGCCAGCTTGAACAGGTGAGTTTTTCGTAGTGGTTTCAAGTGCTGCAGTGAGTTCACGAGTTCCTGATGGACTGAGGGAGTGAGTTCCAGAGGGAGGAGTAGGCGGCGGTGAAGGCTCGGTCTCCCAAGGTCCAAAAAAAAAAAAAAATCAAAGTCTAACAGAGCTTCACACCCACAGGGAATATTGATGATATAAGGTGCAATGTACCAACAGGCGGTGTTCATGTTGTAGAATATGAGGATGTTATTCTCTCAGATGGAGGATGGGGGTCTACTCTATGTAACTTTATGGGAGATTTACTGAAATATGCAAACTTAAAGGTGCATTGTGTAACTTTCATAGTGGAGTGTTCATCAGATTTCTCTGTGGAGATGTTATTTCTTAATCTGAAATGTTTCACAGTGTGGAATTAAACCTTTCTGTTTTCATGGAGACCAAACCAGACTAAGGCCACATCCACACTAGTCTGTATTCAAGTCGTTTTCGTTGTGGATGTAGTGTTCGTCCACACTAATCCGATTGAAAACTGCTCCAGAGATGGAACGATCTGGTACCGCCAGCTCCCACGAACTCATTTGAGTACTGATCTGATCCGGCGCTGTGTGGATGCCTGAAAACGCCAATGAAGCTAGAATATATGTCCATTCATATATACGGTCTATGTGTACGATATATAAACGTTATAATCTCTGAAAAGTTTCACATGAACCATCTCCAAGGTAATAGAAGCACAGAAGAGACTCACCATCAGCAGAACACCCCTCTGTCATAGAAACAACACACATAACCCACTGAGTCGTGTCCTTTAGTCCGACAGAAGCTGAACTACATCAGTGCACAATATCGAGCTGTTTTTTGAGCACTCAGTTTATGCAAATTAGCCATGTGGTTTTAAGTTTTGTTTCTGTAAAAAGTAAACAAATATGCTCAAAGCTGTGTGGATACGAAAGGCTTGCAGACACAGAAACGACGTGTCTGGACGCAAATCGTTTCTGATACAGTGATATGGTGATACGCAGATTCGTTTCAGTATAAACTTAGTCTAAGTTACAGGTCAGATCTGTGGAGAGGCGACCCCAGTCGCAGTCACAATACTTGTTTTCTAGGTACTTTTGAGCTATAAAATCACCTGAAATTGAATAAATGTAAGGCAGAGCTGTTTAATGTCACACTGTGGAACATTCCAGGCAGAGCAATGACATAGCCATAGTAACAAAAAGTTACACAGTGCACCTTTAAGATCCACAAATGTTGAACCTTCACAAAATCTTATAAAACGTCCAGCAAAAACAGAAGTAACGAGTATTCTTTGTGTATGATTGTGTGAGTGACTCCACACTAGAGCCGTCTGCGTCCATCCTGTTTAGTGCTCTGAAATTGCCTCTGCCTGAGAGACCAAACTCAGGGAATCACTGAATAATTGATGTCCGCTGTGAGCCACTGTAATGAGCTGAACCGGGCAGCTCGGCTTTAATTTAACACAAGTGCAGCGGATTAACATATAAAGAGCTGCCTCCAATCGTGAAAACACAGACGAGCTCTACACGTTAGCGCCGAAAAAACAGAAAAGTGCTGATGTGGAGAGACACAGAGGACACAGATGATGCATTATTCAGATGTGGTAAAAGGAGAAAAGCAGGTCAAGAGAAAAAGTAGCAGTGATAAGAAATGGTGATGCGTTTGTGAGGAAGTGGTTTGAAACATTTAACCTTGACATTAAACGGGGGTATTATGCTTAATCACTTGGCTTTCACTGAGCTTTTAATTTGGTTATAACAGTGTTCCCTCATTATACTCTGAGTTGGATTTTCAGTGGTTCATGAATGTTGTAGTAATCTTTTATTGGCCTGCATTTAAGGCTTTAGTTAGAGGTCTGCGCGGGACAGAATTTCAGTCCTGCTCCTGCCCGCACCTAGCCTGATTCATCAGAGGGTTTCAATTTGTAGAAACCGTCTGACCTCGCAGAGTTAGAATTTGTTCGCTCGACTTTTTTTCATTTAACCAATTGCTGCTATTTGGTCGTGACGTATGTAATGCGCCGCTAACGGGGCTGTATTAAGCTTTTCCCAAATCCCGTAGGAAGAAGGGAAATAACATCTTTCCCCATGATAAAATTCACCAAACATTCTCTTTGTTCCGGATTTAAATCCTTGACCTCAGGAATCGTTGCCAACACAGAATGTATGACTCTTTGCTGATTGACTGGTGCCCAAACTCACACTTGCGGGGTTTTTGCGAACCATCTAGTGTATTCCGATTCCTGACTTAGTGGTTGGAGAGAAATGAAATTGAGCGGAGGCACTAGGTGACGCCAGCCTGGAAGCCCGCACCCCCAAAGAATTGTAATTTTCAGTCCTGCTCCTGCAATATTTTGTCCCGCTCTCGCCCGCAAATCCTGCAAAATGGGGATGTTCGCTTTCTTATGCTCTATTAAACACATAAAGCATAAAGGAATTGTTTAAAATGTGCGTGAGATCAGACCACATCTGCAAGTTTAGGCTGATTTAAATGTTTTTATTAAAGCCAAATAAAATATCCAGCACAAATTATGTTTGATAGGCAAACATGAATCATTTTTATACCTTACATTACACTCATATTTAGTTTATCATCCCACCCACCCGCGCCCGCAATGAGCTTTACATAAATGTGTCCCACGCTGCACTGTTTTGTGTTGGGTGCAGGGCTCTAGCTATAGTGGTCAGAGCAGGGCCATTTGAATGCCCTAAGCACAAATGCTTGTGCCCCATTACCTCGCCCCGTCTCACCCGAAATGAAAAATAATTCAGAATTTGTTAGTGCGATTCCTTTTATTTCCAAAACAAATACACCAAACATGAAACGTTAAAATAATAAATAAATACCACCACCATTATTATAAACAAAGATTTGTGCAATGACTGTAGACTGAACATTGACCTGAACATTGTAAACACTGAACAAGTACATACGCTTGTAAGTAATAATGGGCAAATTTCTTACTGCACAATTAGAATTTACTCAGTCAAGGAACTTTAAATAAGAATTTGAAAGTGAAAATTTTTCCTCAAAGACTCTATCTGCTGGTGTACACGGAGTCTGGACACCATGGGAGAGAGAGAGAGAGCTAGAGGGAGAGGGAAAATAAGGGAGGAAGAGAGAGAGATTTCGGGGGATTCTGTTTGTCCTGGCACCTTCTCGCCTCTCTGTGCACTTTGGATGGTTTTGCAAGGATTCACGAGCCTGATTTTTGTGTGGAGTGACTGCACTGGCTCAAAGTATTTCTGTTTTCACCTACCTCCCGTCCCAACCATAGACTGTATAAAGAAGTAGACTAAGTGAGTGTGACGTCACTCGTAGCATTCAGCTTCAGTCAAATGAAGCTTATCAAGGCTTGCAGTTATAGTATCATAGCAATCAAAGAATCAATCCAGAGCTTAGTTACACTGCCAATCAAACCTGGCAAAAGAGGGCAGCTGATTGGTTTGTTATTAATGTTCATATCTTGATTTAAAACAAAACTGTGAAATAAAAACCCCAGGATCATGTCGAGCAGGTTAATACAAACATTTTTAGACCAAATAGAGCCTAAGAGCAGCAGTTTTTCAATTAGAAAGTGTCTATGTACAGTCTAAGGTGACGCCCACATCTTTGTACTTAAAGTGGAACTAAGCACCTAAACTCTGCTCAAAAATTCCAAATAGAGCTGCCAAACTGGGCAGTACCTGGAGGACTAAAGAAAAGAGGGAGGACAGGTAGAGTCTGGAGGTATAAAGAACAGTGTGATGTGCCCAATATTGATCCACGGGTGTCATCGATTATAACTCCACAGCAGACACAAGCACAATAGGTTGTTTTTAAGTGTTTTCCTTGACATTTCACTAACTTAAGAAATAAAGATTTATCCTTAGTAACTTACGACAAGATGAATGTTACCAAAGTTCTATGTTTGTGTTTCTCCAGCTGCAGAGAGAGCTGAACTCCCGTCGGGCTGAAGGAGCAGAGAGCACCCCGCACAGAGAGCCCTCACCCCCCCAGGACAGCCCCAATGTGGCCCCCGCCCCCCCTCCTGCCCCCATGCCCACCACGCGGTCGCACTCGGACTCGGACGCGGTGCTGGAGGAGCAGAGGGGGAAGGGTCCCTCTGAGAACCCCTTTGTGGACGCTCTGACGCTGGACCCGCTCAGCCTGGACGTCCCCTCATCAGGCCTGGACAGTGAGAAGAGGTTCCCCTGTATGAAGGAGGTACAAACCAGGACTATCCTTTAAAATCTGCTTTTGATAGGATTAGAGATGAACTAATATGATGTATCGGCGCTGTTACTGAACATTTTAATGGACTGGATATTGACTTCCATGATACCTGCTCAGCTTTTGGTCTATAAATTGGTGTAATAAGATGATGTACTCACTCTGAACATCTCAGAATATTAAACTTTTGACCAAATAGTTTTGTAGCTTTGTCTGCAATGTTCCATAGTGTAGAAATAAGTCAAGGCAAACTTATACATCAGACCTGTGAAGTGGTGAGCCCATTTAGAGTAAAAATGCTTGTTTTCAAGATATTTAAAGTAAATAAATTCAAGATAGAGAGGTTTAGTGCCATCCTATGAAACATTTTAGGCCAGACATGTTAAACTCAGGCCTGGATGCCAAAGTTGGCCTGCGATATAATTGTATTTGGCCCGTGAAATCATATCAAATATGTATTAGAGCTGGCCCACTGGCTGCAGACTACAGACAGCAGGCGATAGAGGCATTATTTATTTTAAATTTTGTTATTATTTTATATTATGCTTGTTCTTGACAACAGTGTGTTTCCCTCTCTGGCTTTAAATCGCCCTACCTTCTCTGTCCAACAGAGGCCCCCCAAGGTAGTATTTTAGGACCTATTTTATTTAGTTTATATATCAATGATCTTCCTGAAATGTGTCCAAATGTCAATGTCCAGCTGTATGCTGATGATGCTGTAATCATTACACATGCCAAAACTGTACAAGAAGCTTCAGAAAAGTTAACATCAGCCATGACTCATATCCAGAAGTGGGTCAACAACTCGTGCTTGCAACTCAATATAAAGAAAACTGTCTGCATGATGTTCAGTAAAAAAAAAAAAAAAAACAGCTGAGCTACAGCGGTCCAATGTCTTTCTGGACGGAGTGGAACTCAGCCTTGTCAAAGAGTTTAAATACCCGGGACTGACGTTGGACCCGACATTGACATTTAAGAAAGACATTGAGCACCTCACAACTGTTCATTTTAACTTGATGAATTTTATTTTAATAAGAAAAGGTTTAACATTATGACTTAGTCGAAGTTTTTAATTTTGGCCCTCTGTGAATTTGAGTTTGACACTCCTGATTTAGGCAAAGCAATAACATCTCAGTGGAGACAAGCATTTGTTAAACCCTTAATTATAAAAATTTAATTAGAATGATCAATAATAGAGTCAACAGAAACAATCAAAAATGTGATATTAGTTTCTGTGCTGTAGTTCAGTGTTTTCCAGCCAGGAGTACAAGGCCTCTGAGAGCACTTACAAGGGGGATTTGGAGTAATCTACAAAGTAGAATTGGAACTGAATCATTTTATACCCTTAATAATGTTTCTGTAGGATAAAGTTGACATATATTTCAATAAAACAAGAAAATATAATTGTTATAATTGGCTGCATTAATATCAAGAGTGTGAGATGAAGCTTTGAGGATTCCCGAGGCAAAAAACACCCAAAACCCTGCTCTAGTTGTAAATACACATCTTACAGTACTAGTATACTGACATACACCTAAACCAATGGAATGCAATGACATACATATATACAGTATATATCTATCTATCTAAATTATTTATTGTGATCTATAAATTATTTGTGCGTTCACTTCGCATATCCCAGGTTAGAAACATCCATTTTGTATGATTGTGAGAGATGTTTTATGTAATTGCATAGGTCAAAGTTAGAGCACTGCACCTGGTGTGCACGCTTCACTCTCAGAAATGTCAACATGTTATATAACCATTCGTAACAACATTTGCAATTGACTGGACTAAATGTAAATGTCCTTTTATTGATCGTGATTTTTTTATTGTTTTAGGCCTTGAACGAGCTTTCGGAGAGAGAGGGAGAATCCTACCCCGACGACGAGATGGGAGGAGGCAGTCTGCTCAGGTAAATGAAAAAGTCCAAGGACAACAATGGAAAAGTCAAAGGTGCACTATGCAACTTTTCGTTGGGGTCCGTCACATTCTTGTTTCTATGGATATGTCTCTATTTTGAATGTTCCACAATATGACATTATACAGACTTATCTTACATTTATTCAGTTATAGGTGGATTTATAGCTGAAAAATACCAAGAAAAATAGACATTCTGACTGTGATCGGGGTCGCTTCTCCACAGATTTAACCTGTAACTTGGTCTGGTTTGGTCTCCATGAAGATAGAAAGGTTTAATACCATGCTATGAAACATGTCAAAGCAATAACATCTTCACAGAGAAAAGCAGGTGGCGGACACTCCACCAAAAAAGTTACACAATGCACCTTTAAGTTAGGTGTTGTAGTAGTTACATTACAGAAATTGTACTTTTTACAGTACTTTTCCAGCAGCATACTACTACTTGGGTAATATTTAGCTTGAAGTAACAGTACTTTATTCATCATATCTTTTTTCATTTGTGTGGTTTAAACAAAATTTCAACCATTATTTATTGTTTTTTCCCTGTAATTACTATTAACTTCAAATTATAAATCAAATGTTGCATGCAGACAGCTACTTTTACAGTTACTCTTACTTAGTATTAGTTTACTTGGTCACTACTTTGTACTTCTACTTGTGTAATATTATTTTGCAGTAACAGTAGTAGTAGTAGTAGTAGTAGTAGTAGTAGTAGTAGTAGTAGTAGTAGTAGTATAGTAGTTGAGCACTATTTTTGGCTGCTCTACTCACCACTGATCCTCAGACAACAAACAACCAAATGTTAATGTGTTTAATAAAATGCTTCCGGAGTTGCTAACTAGAGATCTACAGATATATGGATGCAGTTAAAGACGACATAAAGTTGATCAGAGAGGAGGTAGAGCAGAGGACCATGGAAGGGAAACAGTACAAATAAATAGTTTTTATAATGTTTGAGTAGGCACAGAAAGGAATAATTGGACCTTTCATTTTTACTATTTCCTAGGGTGTTAATTATAGTGAAGAATGCTGAATCGAGAGTTTTACAAACGATTGTATAAGTTATATTTAATTGGCCAGTGGAGACAGATTTTTATGTAGGTTGTGATAAACACAGAGATAAGAGCTTGAGGTTTTGTATTACAAATCAATCGTTTAATAGCCTTCTTCCAAAGCTATTTGTCTTGTTTTTCGTGTATTTATACAAGGTATTTAACCACGCACACTGTGTTTAGTAGTACCTGTGAATAATGAAGAGCCATATGGCGGAGACAGGAGAACACATGGCAGTAGCTTGTCCCAATTACTGTAATTTTTCTTATAGGTATGCATGACATTTTTGATTTAAGTAAATATAGTATAAAGCTTGGGAGTGTGTTGGCGTACCTCAAAGAATATTCTAATACTAGACAAATCAGTTGTCCCATGGCTGTTTCATTTACATTTTTTATATAAATGGTCACATTTACATAGCACTTTTCTACCTTCAGAGCTCAAGCTTAAGGAACCACTCACCCATTCAGTCAACAGTGTCTTGTTCACGGAAACAACAGCAGTATTCATCTGTGGGAACTGGAATTGCACCGCTAACCTGTGGGTCTGTGGACCACTGTACCAACAAGAGCGGGATTCGAACCTCCAACTTGCAAATCAGAGGACAAGCACTTTTAGCCAGGCTGGCGTCACCTAGTGCCTGTGCTCAATTTCATTTCTCTCCAGCGACTAGGTCAGGAATCAGAATACACTAGACGGTTCACAAGAACCCCGGAAGTTGTAGACTGCGCACCGGCCAATCAGTGAAGAGCTGTGAAGCCATGACGTCAAACTCAAGCACCTGTCTGGGTCCTTTTTGTGGTACAGCACAACAGTAAACAAAGCGGTCGAGATGGATGTAGACGAAGACATACATTTTGTGTTGGCAACAATTCCCAAAATCGAGGATTTAAAACCAGAACAAAGAGAATGTTTGGTGAATTTTATCAAGGGGAAAGACGTTATTGCCATTCTTCTTATGGGATTTGGGAAAAGCTTAATTTACCAGTTAGCTCTGTTAACGGTGCATTACATACATCACGACCAAATAGCATCGATTGGTTAAATAAAAAAGTACCCACCCACCATTAAGCAAACAACTCCTGATGTTGTGAGGTCAGACGGTTTCCACAAAGTGAAACTAGCTGATGAGTCAGGCTACGTAGAGCTACCAACTGAGCTAGTTTTGTCTGATGCATCTTTATGGACGTTTGACACATATGGTTGTTTTCGGACGTTAGATCCCAAGCTCAATAACAGCAAACACAAATCATACAATGAAACTCACAAATAAAATGTCAATATGTTTATACTATCCTGTACTAATGTGTTTTCTTTTGTAGGGCCAAGTCTGTCTGCTCCATGAGTGACTTCCAGCGTTTGATGGACAGCTCTCCGTTTCTCCCAGACAAGAACCGCCACAGCGACCGCGGCCCTGACGAAGTGACCCCGCCCCTTTCCCCCGACGATCTCAAATACATCGAGGAGTTCAACAGTAAAGGCTGGGATTTCCCATCAGCCCTCGCTTCGTCCGCCTCCGCCGCTCCTCCATTTCCCAGAGAGGCGTGGTCCGACAGAGGATCCGAGTCTCACGGCAACGAGGGTTTGCTCGATCCGTACACGCCGCCGTCTTGGTTTTTGACGACGAACGCTACGTTGACCACAAGTACAATGAGCAGCCCCGAACACTGCCACAGGACGCAACTGAGAGGGCATGGGGCGGGTGCAGTCGGAGTGGAGCATTATGGGTACTTGCACAGTCCAACCAGAACGTCGCCAGGAAATGGAAGAGGGTCCAATTTGGGTGACGAGGTATTTAGCGCAGGGAGGTGGCCATGCACAGGGCTAAGAACTCCACCGAACCAGCCCATTTGCCCAACGGTCGGATTCCCTTCTCCGTTAGAACTACAGCTCTCTCGAAACTTGAGCGACGACATGAAAGAAGTGGCGATATCTGTCCGCAATGCAATACGCTCCCCTCCTGGACCGATACTTCGGGATATGTCCTGCCAGACCAACGGTTTCACCACTAGGGGGACCCAAACTACCCAAACGATAAGCGTGGGACTACAGACTGACTTGCTAAGAAACCTCACCAGCAGCCCGCACCGCTGTCTCACGCCAAAAGGGGGCGGCACTCCCATTTCGTCCCCGTCCCGCAATACGAGGAAGGTGCAATACTCTCCGGTCATCCAAAGCAAGTTCGAGCGACCGTGTTGTTCGCCCAAATACGGTTCGCCCAAACTTCAACGCAAACCATCGTCATCGAGCAAGACTGATATCGCGAATAGCAGTACACGCGCGCCTACGCCAACGACGCCGCAAAAAGGGAACAGCGAATCGGCTTGGGCGCGGTCCACCACCACGCGGGACAGTCCGGTCCACACAACCATCAACGACGGGCTTTCTAGTCTTTTTAACATCATCGATCACACTCCGGTTAGCTTCGAACCCATGCAAAAGTTCAACAAGTCCCCCAGCCGCTCGCGCCCTTCCGAACCAAGCCCCATTCACGAACACAGGACTCAACAAGACACCTCAAGGACAGCTAGGGGGCGCTCTCCTAGCCCTGTGCAGCTAATAGTGGAAACGCATGGGGACAGGAACTCGGAGGTTAGCATAAGGCAGGATTTGTCCGCGCCGCCGGGATACACGCTAGCCGAAAATGCCGCGAGGATTGTTAGCAAGAAACTTCAGGAAAGCTGTAGGGAGGAGCGCAGACTTCAAGGGGGGCAAAGCGGTCAGCGGGACAGCAGGATGACGGATTCGGATAGGCAGCCCGGGTGTATGGAGGTAAATATGCACCAACCATGGATTCACCGGTTCATCATTCATTTGATATGGGGCCCGTGTTTTGTAGACCAAACCTATGTCTGACCTGAAAAACTCCAAAGACAAAAGAAAGGTTACTGTTATCTCTTTTCCCAGATTGAAAGCACTGACTGATGCGATGGTAATGTTAAATTTAAATATTTAATTCCACTTTGCTTCGACTCTTTGTGTACAATATCTATAGCAGTGGTTCCCAACTGGTGCAAATGTAGAATACTCGGTCATTATTAGTTTAGCAATTATACTTTTGTTAACTGTAACAGGAAATTAAACCACGAAAGGTCCTCTGCCTGCTTGTCTCCACGGAGCTTTTCATGAATGTTCAGCAGTATGGCATTAAACCTATCTTGCGTTTATTCCGTTACTGCTGTTTTAATTTTTAATATTCTTTTAAAAACTACAAAAATGACAAAGAAGAAATTCAATTTGTCAACCCTATTTAGGTTGAAAATGCTTTGCAGCTCATCCAAGTTGCTTCTTCAGTTCTGGTCAGACGCTGGTTGACACTGCCTGAAGGGAGGAGCTAACTACACTAAAACTACTCTGAAACTAACACACTTATTGTTTACAGATTCTGTTTCAAAGCACCCATCATGGGCCCTGAATGATTATGCTAATATGACCCCACACTCAGTACAGATGAATAGGTCTAGTCAACAAAACAAACAGAAAACACACACCAACAATCTTGTAGAGGTGCAAATGCAAGGAGCAGCAAGACAAAAGTACCTGGGCTGGCAACCATTTTGTGTGCTGTGAACCAAAGCAAGGAAAATATCTGATTAAGCCTTTTTTTTTTTTTTGCCGAAACATTATTTTAAAAATAAAAAAGCTTTTGGACATCTGCCATCTGAGTGTGCTATGCATTTTTTCACTTAGGTCTAGCCAACAAACAGAAACTGTAAACAAGCATGGTGTTAGTTTCAGAGTAGTTTCATTGTAGATAGCTCCTCCCTTCAGGCAGATATAAGGCAGCGTCCACCAGCGTCTTGGATGAGCTGCGAAACGTTTTCAACCTAAATAAAGGTTTTTCCAGTTGACAAATTGATTCTAATTGGACAACTGAGGGATTTGACATGCAAAAATTAATAGATACGCCTCTCCACACATCTGACTTGTAACTTGGCTTGGTGCCGTCATGTGCTCGTTTGGAGATGGATAAGTTTAATGTCATACTCTGGAAGGTTCTAGGCTGAACAATAACAACTCCAAGGTGACAAGCAGACAGATCCACCAGAAAAGTTACGTAGTGCAACTTTAAACTTTATATGCATACCCATAATAATTTTATTAATAGCTTATTAGCTTATTTGTTTAAAACTTGATACTTTGCAACTGATATCATCAACATTCCCCGGTGGTGTGTTGCTGACTAGAGACACTGCTCTGTCTGAAGCTCTGTGACTCGAGTTTGACTTTAATCTGAGTTTTATTTTAACACAGAAAAAAATGGATTAGTTGGAACTACAAGTGAGATTTGTGCTGTTAAACAAGTCCCTCTCAAATAACAGTCACAGGCACAAGCTAACTACCATTAACCAACAGTTTTTCAGTTTGTCACTCTTAGTCATTTTATTAAAAACCAAGCCTAAATATGACCAGACTACTGAAAATGTGTTGTTTAAATACATTTTGGCAGCGTTTGCTAATGTGATATTACTGCAAAGTATCAATATTTGCTAAACACTAACTGTTCATGGTGTCCAAACTATGACCCGTGGGCAAAATGGGGTCCTGAGACCAATTTTTGTTGGGCCTTAGGTGGCCCTTAATGGACCACAGACCTAGATGACCACAAATAGTACTTTTTACTGCAAGTTTCAAAATCTCTAGTATCTTAACCTCATTTACAAACACTGATATAGAAAATATATTCTTGTTGTCAAACCATTTGGCAACCGCTGCACTCTAGTCACTTTTACTCTTTTCGGTGATCTATTACTTCATTGTATTGATGCTAGCTTACAGCGTTACTGGTTACTATAGAGCCTGGCTACAATGTGAACTGTGTCATATTGCTAAAACTACTACATGCTGCAGCAGTAATAACTCAACTATTCAATATCACTAATACTCTGAAAAGTATATACAGTTAACATGAATGTGTGTAGTAACAATAGGAGTATACAAACCTAATATATTTCTTTGACTTGTGGTAATGCATCCTTCACAAAGCCCTAGTGTTGTGTCCTAATTAAAGCTGCTCTATCTTGTGCCTGGTTCACTGTTTGTGTATTTGACATGATTTCCTCTGTCCGCCCTCCTCTCTCCGTCATATTAACTTGTGCTGCTCTCCTCTGCTCCTCTTCCTCTGGTGCAGAATCATACTGTTAGACTAACCACTCCATGGGGGCTGTAGTCTGGATGTAAGTTCACTCTTTGGGCTGTTGGTGGGGCCCCCTGCTGGACATGTCCCGTCACTGCATGCCTCACAGGACACAGTCAAATGTGTGAACCATCGGAGCCACAGCATCTGTTCTTTTGAATTGTGCATGTTCAGTGTGAAGATCATCTGTTTAAAGGAGCACACAGAGTGGGATCTGAGGAGCTCACCACTCCACCTTGTGGTCACACAGGTAGCAGTTTTTAAGGGCAGTCCAGTCTCATCCCAGCTACACTGTGGTGGTGAACAAAAAATTATATAATTATATAAATAATATAAAAATTATTCCAAAATAAAACATGCCCACAGGTCCATCTTATGGTTGTGCATTCTTTACCAAGATCATAGCACAAATATGGAGAAGAGCACCAAGGCTTTGCACTGTGACCACCCACAGGATGGTTCAAATATAACATGATAAATTTCTCTGTGGAGACAAATATACTTAACATGATCAAATGTGTTATATAAGTAACAAGTGTGGTGAAGTGCATTTTGCACACCTCCACAAACTTGTGTGGTCCTTTAAACCTCATTAAGAGCACATGTTGTGGATTACAGATTGCTGTGTTAGATTTTGGTGGATTTTGTGCCAAAATGTTTCTCAGTGTCTGCACACGCCCCTCCTCTGGGCGTCCCACACAAGGACAGTGCAGTGTACTCTGTGTACTCTGTGTACTCTGTGTACATGATAACTCTGGTGTTACCACAGGTCCTGTTCTGTGCTGCTGTTTATGCAGAGGGCTGTGCACATTCACTGAGCACTGCTCCTCTGTCTCACTTGTCTGTTCTGATAAACCATGTGACCAAACCATCACCTGCAGACCCATGTGTATGTGATCTGTTATTGTAGCTCCACTGGCAAAGGACTCTCCCCTGGCTGACTTCCTTCAAAAGCTTTTTCAATCTAATATTGAATGGCTAATGCCACGTGGAAGAAACTGGAATATTCTGTTGTCTCATCCCTGGTTCTCTGATGTACTGGTGCATGCCTCATGCTGTTGTATTGACCTCAATTAAATACGCAGATACATTTCAGACTGAAGAATCAAACGATCATTTTGTCCTTCATTTCATGACACTGTGTGGGTTGATTACACATGAATCACTCACTGATTTTCCCTTCACCTCAGATTTTTTGTGACAGTTTTTAAAGGGTCAAGTCCAGGATAATATTTTGTATTTTTCATGCAGAAGTATTGGAGACGTGTGTATTCCCGGCAACAAGTCTCACTCACAGATCTGACATGTCTCATGGATATATCCCTCCAGTGATTGACTATAATAAATATTGTCTACTTTACTTACATAAAAGAGATACTCTTTTTTTTTTTTTTTTTTTTCATTTTATATTTTTAAATATTAAATGGCTGATTTGTAAATGAAAACATAAAATTCTACAAACCTCCTTATTTGTCAGCATCTCATCGGACAAAAGACCCCATCGGTTTCTGTTTTGTTTCATTCATCTCTCATCCTTTAACCTCCACACCATCACATCGCGGGACACTGGTCTAAACCTTTGGCATGTTTTGGTTTCGTTTTGATCTGCCCCTCCTCCCTCTTCCCCTCCTCCTCCTCCTCCTCTTCCTCCCATCACTGACCTCTCTCTCCTCTGCAGGACCTGCCTCGCTCGCCTGTGGCTCCTCCCCTGGACTCGTGTTTCCACCGGCCGGCCCGACCCGCCAACCGCCGCCCTCCGTCCCGCTGGGCCCGCTCCCCGTCCTCCTCCCCCCGATGGAGCGCGGGGACAAACCTGGAGTTCACCTTTCCTCCAGCAGGGCGGCAGCGGGCCATAGCCGAGACACAAGAGACAGATTGAACAAGTTAGAAGAGTTTATTCCCAAAAGGTTGCGTTCACGTTATGGAATGAAATAATCTATTGAAATCTATATTTAATAGTCTATATATACATACATTTATAACTCTATGGGATATTCACTGTTTGAAAGTTTGAAAGAAAATCTACAAACGTATGATACACAAATGTTTCTTTATTTAAAGTTTGGATCCACAAATATGAATTTTATGGCAATCTTAAATCCATAAACCAGGTCAACAAATCTGTAACGGTTAAACAGCAAATTCCATTGAAATTGAGTAGTTTTAAAGAACACATATTATGCAAAATTAACTTTTTTGAGCTTTAAGCCATGTTAAAACATACCTGGAGTTGTATTTCACATCATTCATTTAAAAAAAAAAAAAAAAATCCTTTGCCTCTGAGCTTCGCCAAACACTCAATTTTCCCAGGATTGTGACGTCATAGAAAGAAACTCTGCACAGTTTTAAGTCCATAAATAATCAACAGACTCATTTTAAGCATTTTTAACATGCTACCCAACATGTAGTTTAATTTTTTTCTTCTGTTGTAGTTCCCTTCACTACCAGTAGATGGCAAGCTGCACCAGGTCAGACTATATTGAGCACTGAAGCAGTTTTTTTTTTTTTTTACTTATTTAGGCATTATTTTAAGTTCTAAATCATGAAATGTCAAAGCAAAGGTATTGGAGAGCATATTTAAAGACTAATAACAATACAAGTAAAGCATAATATTTGTTCTTTACACTGTAGGGATTATTATAGAGTATTGTGATGTCCCGTGAACTCAACCTATTGGGTATCTTTACAGTGCCCTCTATAATATTGACATTCTATAAGGGTAAAGAAAACTCTATCCATCTTTTTTTTTTTTTTTTTTAAATAAAGAAATGGTTCACAAATATCTCAAGAATTCATGTAGCTGCGCTGTAGCTTGTTCAGGTTTTTTTTGCTCAAAATGTCAAATATATATTGTAAACATGTGACAGTTGAAGATAATAATTCACAACATTAATTTTGAAATGATTTATGTGACAATTTTACAACAAATGACCCAAGTGTTTTACAGAAATGCTGTCCAATGCCAAAACATTTTAAAAATAATCATTTGATTTAAATGTCAAATATTACACAAAATTGACTCTTGTGAGCTTTAATTCATGTTGTTACCGCTTCAAAAACACACCCGGAGATGAAACAAAACACAACTCCTGGTCTGTTTGCAATGAGGAAACAACATTATAACATAAATTACAAAATAATATGGGCCCCCCTTTAATCGGTATTGCCAATATGAATGGAGGGCACTGTACAGGAATTACAGCGAGTACCTCAACGCCCAGAAACTAGCTCCCAAACCAGGGCATAACATGGGCACACACCAGCTTAGAATCAGACAGACTTCCTATGGTACTAAGATGAGCAGAGAATTCACTGAAATGGTGCCTGCTACACTTGACTTTATGTACGGGTGTCAAAACAAGCACTGGATTCATAATTTGTATTTTATTTATTTGTTTTTTTATGACGTGCACTTTTTTATTTATTGACGATTGTTTTGTAAAGAATGTCAAACTCAAGTTAACGTTTTAAAAAGGGAAAACAAAACTAGAGCGGTTCTCAACTGGTTAAGACCTTTATTTTTCATTTTTATGTTATTAACAAGATAAGCATGGTTGACTGTGGGGTTGTGAGAAGCATCGAAAAGCAGAGACTAATTGATACTAAAACTGGTATCGAAACTAGATACTCGTTTGAGCAGGTATCGATACTAAAAAAGTCATATTCACCTACCAACCTATCTGGACGACACAGATATAAGGCCACATGATATGAAAGTACTATGATTTAATGATGAAAATAACATACTATTATCTAAATAAAGAGTTTTTTTTTCTTTTTTTATTGTATTTGTGGTATCGGAATCGGTATTGAGTATCGAGTCAAAGTCAAATTTGGAGTTTTTGTGTCGTGACAACATTTTGACATAAAGGTCCTTCCTTGAGTAATTATTCTGTTTAATTTTAATTTTAATTTTGTTAGTATTATTGTTATTTTGTAGGACTACATTATGCAGTAGGCTCTATTCACGCTTACGTCACAAACCAGGAAGATATTTGGAAACATGTGATTACAACTTCCGGTGTAGTTCCTGACACTGAGCTCGCTGACCGACTGTGATAAAACCCACTGAAGTAAATGTCATCAGTAGGGATGTAACAATAACCGAAATATCGTGACATCGTATCGTCAAAAGTCTCGCAAGTAATATCGTGGGCTGTCACAATATATCGAATCATAAGTTCTTTTGCTTAAATGCATGGTTTTATAGTAGCAACAGCATATAAACATAAGGAACTACATATCCCATGATTCATTTCAGCACAGACAACATGAAGAGAGATGTTTTTTACTTGTATTCTTGGAAATAATTCACACCAAACTCTTGTCAAGGTATTTTAAAAGCAAAAACATGTTCTTTCTACAATTACATCATCCTCTTCAAAATATCGCAATAAATATCGTCCCATGAGATGCATATAATATAGATAATATTGTACAGAGAGATTTGGATATTGTTACATCCCTAGTCATCAGCGGTAAAATGAAGACTGCATACGTATGTGCTGTTTGAAATCATCTTTTTTTGGTGAATTTGTGTCATTGCGGAAATGATGAAAACCGAGGTTTGGTTGTAAATGTTGATTAGCCAAACATAACGGAACAATACGATGACATGTAGATGAAGAAAACTGGGCCTGAGAAGTTTCCAACTTTCCAAACATCTTCCTGGTTTCTGACGTGAATAGAGACTATAAGTACTTTGTTTTTTCTTTCAGTGTTCTAATTTTACCACATAAAAAATGTAACAATTAAATTTACCAATCAACAGTCTCAAATCAAAACACTCTTTAAACGGCAAATACAAGCAAATAGAAGCGTAACACAGTCTTTTTAAGTGCCCTAATATTCAACCATGTCTACGTATTCATCTAAATACAGGGTAGCATTTGGTCCGTGGTCCACCAGTTGAGAACCACCGTCATAAAGAGATGATGTCACTTCAGATGCTGGTCTCTGTGTCTGTTTGAATGTGAATTAATATCAGAAGCCTCTTTTCCACTGAACCGCTATGGCACAGTTTGAGTCAGTGTGGATCGGACAGTGTTTGAAATGTGGAAAAGTCAGAATAATTATGACTTTAATTGAATGTTTATGGTAACGATAAGCAAAATTTGAACAGAAAATAATGTAAAAACAGGCAGAGAAAGTTCATTAATTCAAGTGTTTAAATTGAATGATAATGGTATTCTGTATCTAAATATATTTGCATATTTTGGCACGTTGTTGATACTTTGCAGCTGATGTCGTCAACGTTCTCTGGGGGTGTGACGCTAACTGTAGGCATGCTCTGTCTGAGACTTTGTTAGACTTTAATATATTTTTTTATTTTAACACAGTCTGACCTGAATGAGTTTGATTTAGTTGGAACTACTTTTTGTTGAAAATTGAACACCTAAACAGGACCATGAACGCTCGTATTGATCACAAACTTGTAAAAATGTGTGGTTTAAATCCATTTTGTATTTTTTCTTAAGTTTTCAGACAATCTTGTGTGTCATTGTGTCTCTATGGTAACTTTTACCATTAGAGATACATGTAGAACACCCCCAGCGTGATGTTACTGCAAAGTATCAAATATAATAGATAGAGCGCAGGTTCTGTTGCCATGGGAATGTGGCGGCCATCTTGTGACTGCAACGAGAGCAAAATTCTCATTGAAAATAATTTAACGTATCTAAATATACAGTATATATCTATATTTTTGTCCCGTATTTTTAATGCAGTAGGTAAAAGCATGAAAGGAGTGAAGAACGAAGAAGGACATTTGGACAATTTTCCAAGTTGGGAATTGATCTCATGATGTTGCCCAGTGATAGAATGTTTTTTAAAATATATATAATTTAATATTTGCCTCTCAGAATCATTTTACCATTTTGTGCATTTTTTATTCACTTGTTACTTTTGGTGGTGGTTAATTTCTGTAGCAAAAGATTCACCTCAACAACATACGATGATACAGGTACGATCAAGTGTCCTGCCCAAGTGCACAACTGCAGTATTTCATGTCTGTAGCAGGAATCAAACTGCCAACTTTACTTTGTGTACTCAGAGGTGGGTAGTTACATTTACTGGAGTAACATTTTAAAGACTTTTTACTTTTCGTGCAGCATACTTTTAATCTTATTAATATTGTATTGAGTAAAAGTTTTAGTTCCTCTTCCCACTGTGAATAAATCTACAAGTGACAAAAGTTTTATGTGACAATATGAAATTATTTGAACGTTTGTGTTTCTTGAAGCTGTCCTTCAGCTATGATTTTTCTGTCAGTCCAGATTTTGTGCATTATTTAATATTTTGCCCTTCAAATTACATTAACTTCAAATTACAAATCAGTAGGGATGTAACAATATCCAAATCTCACGGTACGATATTTATTGCGATATTCTGTGGAAGGCTAAAACATTGTAAATTCACTACTTTTTCCTTATAAAATGCCTTGACAAGATTTAATCCAAAATAACTAAAATATAAAAGTGCTTAGAACTGTTATTTCTTCATGTAGTTTGCACCAAAACGGAGCAAAGGATCATGGATCAACGTAGTTCCCTCTGTTTTTTTAGATATTGCTGCACCCCACTCTTAATTTAAGCAAAGAAACTTGTAAATCAATATATTGTGATGGTCCAAGATATTATTGAGAGATGTTTGACGGTACGATATTACGATATTTTGGTTATTGCTGCACCCCTATAAATCAGATGTTACGTCCAGACAGTTACTCTTACTTGAGCAGACTTTGTACTTCTATCTGAGTAATACTGGGTACAGTTTTTGGTTACTCTACCCACCTCTGTCTGTACTACATGCTCCATCCATCCTGACTCTCCCTTTACCATAAAACTCAGTGGAATCGAGGCTTACGCTGCTTAAACTCAA